GGTTCCTTATGTAATTGAACACAATGACCACTACAGATTACAAATTCTTGATTCATCGAGTTGCACAAACCTTTTCTTCAACACTTTCCAAATTTTCATAGCAGAAGTTCATGTAGAAGATTGTACACAGTGACCACTTAGAAGATTGTGTAATTGAACACAATGACCACTCGCAGATTACAAATTCTTGATTCATCGAGTTGCGCAAACCTTTTCTTCAACACTTCTTAAATTTTCGAAACGAGTTCATATAGAAGATTAGTAGCAACGAACGAAGGTGAAATAGATCGCAATAACCGTGCAACTATCAAGTTATTGCATCGATTCCATGCATTAATTAACTCATCATCATTTGTAGGTTGAGGAATGGTTCCATCAATGAAACCTAACTTGTAGCGAATAAACAGAGCAAGAACAAATGATCGAACAAATGATCTACTCCAAGTAGTGTAATTCTCCATGGTTAGTTTAAGAGTAACAACTAATGAACCATGATGATCTGAATAATGAATGAAATATGGAGAGTGAGGATTATCAATCAACGAAGTTACTTCGATCGTGGATGATTGAAGAGATTTGAACAACGATGCACTTAATCGAAGGAAATTATGATTTGAGATTGAAGAACCCTAGCATGTTGTATGCTCGATACCATGTTAATTTCCGTGACTAGAGTATGAACAAACGAAAGGCAAAGAAATATCGAAGAAGATTGAACAAAGACGAAGAAGTGAATGAAAAGAGAATCTACAATGTGTTTTCTTACTGCTCATTCAATTAAAAAATATAGCCATTTACACCATTATTTATACAAGAGAAAAATAACAGTTAGTGCTAACTGTTCCTTCAACTTGACAAGGCTAACTAATTATTAAAACTAATTAACTAACTTCATAACCCGCGTTCTATACCAAAAATAAGTCAGCTATTTTATTAATATAAAAAACATACCCCATACCTCTTATAGCAATCTTGTGCATTCGAATGAATTTAATAATTTTTTTATAAAGGCTAGCTTTAAAGTTTGAACTCAAAAAGTTTAAAGAAAAAAAAATCTCTTCAACCACCATTCCAACTCTTTAAAATTATCTGAAAATATATATTATTTTTCTTTTTCTTTTTTTTTCTCTTTTTAAACAAATTAAAATGATATTATCTCATTTTTTATTTTTAAATAAATTTAAAATCGAAGTTTTTCTATTTAGAATCGTATTTAAAATCGTCTCAACCAGCTCTAATTCCTATTACTACTTATTTACAATATATACGAAACATAATGGGTTGATTTAATGTCAAAACACTTAATCAAACAAATATGGAAAATATGTGAAATTATCATATAGGAAATGTCAATATCTGTTACAGATTTTTGTGTGACAACCTCAAATTACAAAGGAAATTGTTGAAGAAAATCGTAAGAGTTATTATGAAGAAGGCATGGTTTAAACAAAAGCATATTTTAGAAACTAGAAAATGGCACAATGTTAATGATTTATTTAGCATCTGATTTTGCCCATTCTATTCCTGGGACCCGATTTGATATGCATGCTCTTTATTGCCATGTTTTGAGCACTTATTATATGATATGCGAGTCAGAACTTCCATAATCAACATGGGTTTTATTCTATATGAGAAAGTACTCCAACTACGTCTCCCTACCATCCTCAATATATATATATATATATATATATATATATATATATATATATATTCAAAAGTTTCCATATTAATTGAGATTAAGTTTAATGCTTTTGGAGCTAAATTAACATCAAAAAACAAATAATTTTCAATCAACTACTAAAATGTTTAAAAATGATACGATTAAGATATAATTATAACTAATTATATATGGATAATAGAAATAAAAATTTGGTGTTGATCAAACCAAAACAACTTCTTTCTTGGTATCAATTTCGTAAAAGAAAAAAATAATACAAACTTTTATATATATATATATATATATATATTTGAATAAGTTTTTGCATTAACGTAGATTAAATTTATTATTTTTTGAGCTAAAATAACATTAAAAAATACTTAATTTTTAGTTAACTACTGAACTGTTTAAATCTAATACAGTTAAAAGATAATTATAGTTAATTATATATAGATAATAGAAATAGAAATTTGGTGTTGATCAAACCAAAACAACTTCTTTCCTATATCAATTTCATAGAAGAAAAAAATAACAATAAAAACTTCATTGGCATCAAATTACATGCTAAATAAATACGTTGTGTCCAAAAATGTCCAAAAGCTCGAAAATGTTTGAGGAAATCTACAATTTAATCAATCAAACTTGTGTTAAAACAAGCTAATTTGTTCGTTAGAATTAAGGAGAAAAGAAGGATTGAATTCAAATGTTATTCTGTGTCAATTATTATTATTAAAAAAAATGTTATCTGAAAATTCATCCGAAAGACATGATTTTAGAATATTTTTGTTAACGTGTAATAAGGAGAAATTCAAAATAAAAAAAGAAAAAAGAAAAAGAGAGAGAGAGACAATTTTAGATAGAAGAGCGTGCGTGGAGCACTCAGGCATAGTCACATCTACTGTTTAAACTTAAAAATAATGGTGTGTTTTTCAGTTGACCTTTAGTTGCATGTAAAGCACTAAGCAAATCTCCATTATTAACATATCTAATAAGTGGGGAAGACTTTAAGATCCTACTTGATGTTTCAATAGTATCACTAGCAAGTAATATTCTAATGATGATCAACTAAAATAATTTTTTTAATTTTATTTTGATATTTAAATAAAAAAAGAAAAAAATAAAAGACAAGGTTAATAGGTCAGTCTATTATTACATAATAAGTAATTAATTCTTAAATCTGTCAATATTTTTTTCATTAAATCAATTTTATCTTTGAATATATATTAATTTTTTTATATTTTTTTAATAAGAGCTTCAATCCAATTCATCGGAATTAATCTCATTATTTACACATGACTATTTTTTTTCCAAAATGTCCTTGCATGCTAGAGAAATAGAAGTCTTTTGTTTGCAAATTACGTAATTAATTCTAATAACTTAACCTAAAAAACTTGCCACAATGATATATTAGAAATTTGATGTATATTTAAGAATAAAATTGACTCAATTAAAAATATAATAACAATATATTCACTTATATATTCTAATTCAATTTTTTTTTCTGAGTAATTATTTAATGTGTTGGTTTTAAGCTTCTCCACTAACACTAGTTCAAACTTTTTAGATTAGATATTTTAAGATAATACTATTAAAATCCAACTGTATAAATAGGCCCTAAGATCTAGTTAATCTAGCATTAGTCATGGAGTGAATGATTTAATTTAATAAAATCCATAAAGTCAAAGTTTATGCATAAATAATTGCTCCCAAAAGTCAAATGTAAAAAAGGAAATGGAGAATTGCAAAGAAATAGATTGCCTAAGACGTACGAAAAGATGCATGATTTTTTTTATAGTGGAGGAGTGCTTATTTAGCTTGACTGAATTATGACTAAGGAATTTGCTACTAAAGGTGTAACAAAGCAGCTCCAATGCCAACCCATTAGAAACAATGAGAAAAGGAGTAGCTATCAATTAGGGCAAGCCAAGAAAAAGGGATGCATTGCAGTAAATATACAGCAAAACATTCCTGTTTCTTCTTTTTTAGTAAATGATGTTGAAACCAAGAACAGTGACAAAGAAGGTATGAAGTAGAAGTAAGAAAGCAATTATGAAAGTTGGTAGAAACTTGTGAGAAATACAGACAAAGTATTTTCAAGCCAAAAATCATGACATTCTTCATCAAATCTTCATTAATCACTTAATATTTACGTTTTGCCGACAGGATTTTGTAGTCAAACCCATTATTTTTGCTTTGAAAAAGCATCAAATCGACGATTCATAAGGTAGTTTGTAATGGTCTTGAAACCAAAATCGTTGAACCCAAAAAAAAACCCTGGAGATATATTTAGATGTCATTTTCTCAACATTGGTTTATACTATCATTTCTGATGATCAAAAAGACTGTGGTGTACAAGTTGAGAACTTGCCCCCAACCTGGAATAGTTCACTACAGGACAGAGGACAGTAGGTGGAAAAGAAAGAGGGGACATCGAGGTCCATCACTAGAAGCAACTAACATGATGGTGGAGTTGTCACAATGTCATGCAGATAAAAGGTGGGGCAAATTGAGTTTTTTCTCTTCAAGAGCAAATCCTATGAAACTGATAGACCCAACAAGGTTGGATCTATTACAACAACTATAGCTTAAGTGTGTGTATCAATTAGGACAAACACAGTTCTATCCTCTTATATTATGCACTAGACGTTTTGCTTACTTTTTCCCTAGCTTGTCCATACAATTATTTGTTGGTGGGTCTGGTGGACTTAAATCACATTAGAAATGGGGAGCAGAGACAATCCAGATTGATTTTGGTTTTGGATTTTTGAAGAAAAAGGCGGGCTCCATTGCATTGACACTAAAAGTATGTTCTCTTTACCAGGGAAACACTATTCAACCTGGTCCAGCTTCAGATAGAATTTCATGTGTCCATTTAAGGGGCAACTTAAGGGTAAAATAACAAAAAAAATAAATAAAAACCAGGCTTACGATATTGGGATTTAAAAGTCCAAATGCCCCCTTAATCAAAATGCAGTTCAGCAGAAAAATCACATTATGGGATGGATGGCTATTAGGAAACATCAGAGAAACCAAGGGATTTTTAGGGTTAACATTCTGCTGCTACAGTTCGAAGTAGAAGGGGATGAAGAAAGAAAAGCCTGCATCTCAAGGGTTATCTTATGCTGAAAAGGCACTTCTAGGGTCCCTCTCTGGAGCATTTTTCTGTGTAGAAGAGAATGCAGTTAGACAATGTCACATCCTAACTAAGGGTATAAAAGTTCCTGAGAGAGAAGTGGCTGATGCTACATTTGAACTTTAAAAGGACAAAAACAGTGTCCCAACATGTTCTCTCATGTTTGAGTGCTTGCTGTGCCATTATATCAACTGGGGCTGCTGGAGATTGTTAGCTTGCATTTCGAAGAAGACTAGGGGAAGTATTCGAGACAAATTTTCTCCCATTATAGCTATTCTGTGGTAATGCTTGTCTTAGTTGTACACTCAGCTCCCACAAAAGGCGGTCGGGACCTGCCACTGGAAGTTTCATCATGATGATCTGATCAGCTAAAAGCAGACCAATAGGATCAACCTTGACAATAAAGGGAGCCGCTTTGCTTGTCATAGACACACCACCAGATCGTGTCTTTTGAAGGGATTGCGATGACCATGCAACAAGCTCTATGATAGATCTAAATGCATGAAGAATGGTCACTAGATGATACATAATACTAACAGATCTTCTTAGTTGGTAGTTGTAGGGCCAAAATATAATATGGACATAGCAATATTGAAGGGGAATAGCTTATCAGATCTAGGTAAATTGGTGTACAAATTCAGGGCAATATCTGCAAGTGACTTGTAATTGTCTCATCATGGATGTACTATTATTGCATCTTGGTGGTCAGGAAACAGACGGATGAAACTAAATGAAATGACAAAGGCCGTACCAATATACTCGCCTTCAAATGCTTTCTCTATTCAGCCTACTTAATCTGGCACTTTCCATTTGTTCTCTCTTTTTCAGGAATATTTTGAGGGATGATTTACTGAAACGAAGGCAAACATAAGGACCAAAACACTAACGCTGAGAGAGCAAGTGAGAGAATCAATCAAATGTGAAAACCAGGTCGACAGCTCCGATGTATGTTTCAATTGGAGGGTAGGATCTTCATATAGCTGCGGTGGAGGAGAGAACAAGATGACATTGCTTTAAGATTTTACATGCAGTAAAGGGCAGGAGTAGCAGGGAACTTATCTAGAGCTTGCGTAGTTGTCTTCAAATCGGATTAGATGAGAAGCAGGTTACCTTAACCACATTCAACACATAAGGTTTCAGTTTACGTCTCACCGATATTTATGTCCTCATCATTTCTAACCATCCATAATGACTTCAAATCAGCAAGGAGAGATCAAAATCAACAAGGGAATGTAGTAAATGCATGAGATTTTATTTGCATGTACTGTTTTTACATACTGTACATGGAGAGATTTATTGAACCATAATCTAAAGTACAACCAAAATTGAGCAGAAAGAAAACCTATGGCAAGTAAAGCCAGAAAAGGATGGAAAGCCCAACCTGCCATTAAGCATAACTTGGCATACCACTCGATTCGTGAGACTCGCAATTGGTGCTAAACTTATGTGATGACTGTAGGCTTGTCCCTTCCTGTGAAATCTTTCAACTTTGATACAGACAATGCCAGATCTAAAACAAAACAAACCATTTCATGAATACATATGCAAGTAAAGCCTGAGAAATAGTATTTTACTTGATGAAAAAAATAGTGTGACTGACCTATTAATGGTTTTAGGGCTATTTGGGCATCCATTTCGTGTTTTGAGACATCTGGTTCAAACTGTTCAATGTAGATTCTGACAGTTGCACCTGCTGATCCAGTTCCCTGTAGAAGTGGATATTCACCAGTTAGAAGAAAAACAGGAGACTATGAAGCTTCAGATTCTGACAGGAAAAATAATCAATTGAACATACAGATAAACGGAATATGATCCTCGATCCATCAGTGAAAACAAACCGGATACCTTGCTTCGACACCACACTTCCATCCACCTATAAGAATCACATAAAGATAAGTAAAACATCGCAATGATATCAAACTACAGGTGCTTGGTGAAATTATAACTAATCAAATATGATAAACATGCAGTGTTTTAACTTACAGGATCAGTGTATGTAAAGTCATCAGCAAACTGAAGGGTGTAATTTCCTACAAAGCAAATTGTAAATACAATGCTCAGACATTGTCAGATAGAAGAATGAGATTAGGTAAAGGAGATCAGATATGAACTTACCATATTTATCACCTGCTTTGCTCTTAGAGACCGAATCTCTAAGATTCTCGATCATTTTGTTAGCACCTGCAGATTCACATTCCTGAAAAAGAATTTACACAAATTAAAAAATTGTACCCAGTACCCAGCTCTACCGAGACAAAGGAAGTTTAGTCCATAGCTGAATCTAAAGCATCAACTATATATTCATCTACAAAAAAATGGCTAATGCTTACTTCATAATCGTATCTAGAAAAGAAATTTCTTCCATAGGTTGCCCAATGCTCTTTCACAACATCAGCGACAGATAATAACTTCTCCCCTGGTTTCTTGTCTTTGTTTCTGTATGCAATAATTGAAAGCCAGGCTAAAACAGCCCTGCATTTGGATAAATTTGTTATTTTGTATGGGATTTGAAAGTCTTTCATAACAAAAGCAGTGAGATGTGCTAAACCAAGCTGAAAAGATCTAAAAAAGAGACTTTTAGAAACCAAACATTTGCCTTGAAAATGTAAACATGCTTCAGTGCAATAGTACTTTTTGGAACAGACCCGACACTGAATCAGGTTCATCAAGCATTCACAAAATACTAGGTCATACCATGATTCTGATGAGGTTTTGCAATAATCTTAACAATAGACCGAAAATTCAAACATTATGCTTGTGTTGGAAAATTTGAAACATCCAATGAGACAATTATTCTGTAGTGATAATGTCAAACACCCATCAATTTAAAGAAAACATCCTGTGACAGAGGTAATATCAACCAACAATTTAAATTCTAATTTAGCTCTAGGTTGTGAACCATTTGAATTGGCATGTAGTTCCATTTTCGAAGCAGCCAATCCTCCCCTCCCATCCAGACTATCTACTCTTTGAGAAGGAATAAGCAAAGGACAATTATTCGGCAAGCCTTCTACCACTACCAATTGGACCCAGCCAGAGTAGCAGGCCATCTGTTGCTGTTGGAGGCTCCCAGAGAACTGGAAATAATCCATCGAGGATAATAGCTAACCAACAATCAGCCCGACCTTGCCAAGGTGAAGATTGTCACATACAAACCAATCCCCAAAATGCTTGAATTGTAATATACTTGTAGGGAGGTGCTGGTTCTTGTTTTCATTTTGATAGGAGATAGAATGTCGGGTAATCTAAGGCGTAGACTTTTCTACATGTGATGAATTTATGATGATTAGATTGCTGTGCAGCATCATAAGAAAGTGATGCAAGGATTAAGGAATGTCAGGAGAAACAAAAAGTACAAAACTAAACGCAACCTTCAGCAGCAAAGTAGAAGTGCATAACCAGCATTAAGTTAGGATATGTATGGGTATTTTAAGTTAACAAACATTAAAAACAGGTAAAAGCCTTAATTTTGGTATAATAGTATATGTGGGAGGTTTGCTGGATGCATCTCAGACAGTTACCATATGCCATCCTTCTCGCGAATGTGATCAGAACCAGTTCCGAAACTTTCTTCACCACAAATTGACAATTTTCCAGCATCCATAAGATTCCCAAAAAATTTCCAACCAGTAGGAACCTGAACCCAAGGCAAAAGATTGTCAGGAGACAAGCATCTCTATCGACACAAACCCTACTTTAACCTCTATACATTCCCCTTCTAATGAAACTAGAATTTTATCCAAGAGTTGCCTCACCTCAAAAAATGTAAGATTCAATTTTTCGGCCACACGATCTAGAGCACCACTTGTCGGCATGGACCGTGCTAAACCCTGAAAATTGGAAACAGGGCATTCTCTTTTGTTTCTTAGGACGTTAAAAGGTTGAGAAAAATCTGCAGAATTTCCTACCTTAGGGCCACTCGTAAAGTATGGAATGGCTTTTTGCGCATTGGCAGCAATGATAGCAACAGAATCTGAAGGAGTGACAAAAAACCCTCTACCTAGGATCATGTTTCTGTCCCCATCTCCTGAATGGCAGCAAGAGAAGTTAATTGTGATGAAGGGATGTAGATGATATCATGATTAATCATCATATGGAGAACCAAATGATTAACTAAGAAACACAAATTATTCATTCAACAGATACAAGCAATATGGCCACATGGTGTTTGTGAAAGACATTTGGCAACCTAAATTTTAATTTTCACCATATTTAATCCATCATCCCCTGCACCAATCTTGTCAAACACTATGATAAAATCTTCCAAGGACCAAAACAAAGTTCATGACATAAAAGTCAATCCCTGGATTTACAGATCCTGGTTTTCCTATTTGTTCGATAGATTTGCACTTTAACATGAATCTTCCTTTTGCTTTAGCATATGGTAGCAAAATAAGCAAAGAAAGCACTGGTTGGTCATATCAGCCTGGTTTATTTTTAACCAAAATCCATCCTACAGTAAGCTAAAGAGTGGATCAAACATTGATTTAAATTCAACTACCCTTATCAAGATTGGCGCAGATTTGGTGTGTCCCAAGCTTGGCAGAAAGATATATGAGATAGTTTGCCACCCCCAATGAATTCATTCAAGATTTGCACTAGCCCCTCCAAAACTTTAGACACTCTCTTCCTATTTGACTGATTTGTTCTTTTGACTGCTTGTCTCCTCATTATATCATCTACAGACACAGCAGTGAAAGCCGATGAAACAACAACATCAACAAATTTGAGAATCAAAATGATCTTGTCATATAGCGTGCCACTGTGTTAAACAATGTAAAATGAGGGTTGATTTCAAATTGGCTCATCTATGTCAGTGAAGAAGTGTGAAAACAACAAATTCCCCCAATATATATAAGCCTGATCTAAATGCACGTTGCAGATTAATTAAATAAAGTAATCATACTATCGGTAACAGCATTTACTGACAGAGTGCTCCTGATATGCATGCATAACAGGCCCAGGTTAGAGCAATTCAGGCGGAATTATTAATTAGTAAATGGTAATGGCCCTGTGATTGGGTGACTCTTCAAAATAAGCAACATTTGTTGAAATATCAATTTCTCCTAATAGTTATTCATCTTTGGATTAAAAACTTAATGATATTTTCCCTAAATGTTTGAGACGAAATTCAATTTATAGCTTTGACAGATCGAATACTCATTATATATATGGTCGATACATAAAGGCTGATAAAAGGGTAAAGTAACTATTAGAGTTAGATAGTTGAGATTAGGTTTCATCCTAAAGACTTAAGCCTTATGGTGGATGGCTCCTTCTCAACTTTATATATTATTTATTATTGATTTAACTATTCAATGTGGGATATGTTCTAACACTCCCCCTCACTTGCAGCCCATTTTTTGAGATTTGTCAAGTGGCTTGGGCTCCGGGATCTTTGCTGGGCCGTTGGGCATCTTTGAGGCTCTGTACCATATTAGAGTTAGATAGTTGAGATTGGGTTTCATCCAAAAGACTTAAGCCTTATGGTGGGTGGCCCCTTCTCAACTTTATATATTATTTATTATTGGTTTAACTATTCAATGTGGGATATGTTCTACAGTAACTTAAGTTGTCGGTACAGCCACCGACTTCATCATTCCAATGTCCTGTCAACCAATAAAAATCATGGCCACAACCAAAATTTTATTTGCAGTCTGAAATTTTATTTAGCTGGTACCACAAAAGTGGAACTCCTAACTTTCAGTGCAAAATCCAGTTCAAGACCTCAAGGGAATTACTCAGTGCAGCCTAACCTGCCAATGAATCCATGCATTCATTTACTCAAGAAAATTATAACACGTCAAACATTTAAAAAATGACATACCATCACTTGCAGCTCCAAAATCCGGTCCATTCTCACCATACATGATGTTGACCAAATCCTTGGCATATCTGTTTTAGAGTAAAAGATATAGTTAGTATTCTTTCAAATAATTGCAACTCACTAGATGCCCTAGAAGTTATTAGCCATCTTACGTAAGATTAGGGTCTGGATGGCCATGCCCAAAATCCTCCAGAGGCACTCCATTGAAAATTGAATCCTGCATGCCAAACATATTTTATCAGAAATTAGATGATAGTTGAAAACTATATTCAAAATGTCTCATCCAGAAAATACCAGACTGGCCCCAAGCTTGTCCACGAAGATGGGTTTTGCATAAGCACCAGTAACAGCATGCATGGCGTCGAATATAAACCTGAAAGTAACACCCAATACAATATACTTTAAAACCCTTGAAAAAATAACTTCAAGCATAGGAATTCAAGATTCAACAACGCCTATTATGCAAGAGTATGGAACTTGTATCAAACACAAGCAAAAACAATTGTACATGCTTCTGCACAGAAAAAATAAATAATGGAAGGTACAGATGATTATGATGGCAAACACAATATTCAAGCCAATCTTTCACATTATAAGGAAAAGAAAAACAGTATCAGTGAATATAGCCTGAGAGATAGTGATAAAGTGATGATAAAGTGAAACAGGCTTTTACATAGATGACTGCCAATAGTTCAGGGGAATCTTTGTTGAGCCGAGTTGAGATAAGATATGAATTTCAGTGCAGATTAATCCATTCATAAGTCAATACTTAGAAGAATATAGATAAAATAAGATAGCCAAAGGGAATAGAGGATCTTTTTACTGATCATACGCATGAAAGAACATGTAGGAAACTAGCAATCACTTGGCAAAGAACAATTGTACCTGAAATCTGACCGTGAAAGGAGACTTTTGATGAGCTCAAAATCAAATACATTCTGCAAAATAATCCATACAATTACTGACACAAAATCCAAATGAATGGTCATCCAAATATGCACATTCTTGTTTCTAACCTCCATTAACTCCAAATAATCAGAAACTGGGTCTACTACTTCAACACTAAAGTTTCCATATTTTGTGACTCCGAGGCTAGAAAGGTCAACATCAGGAATGTCCGCTGTCATAATCTCAGATATCTGCATATCATTCACAAGATTTCAGATCCCTGCTGGAACTATCAAATTATTGGAAGTTAAATAATCATGAAAGCACGTTAAATAATTATGGAGGTAAGATGATGCCCAATTGCAACCCAAAATAAGCAAACAAGAAAAGATGAAAATTAACCAGCAAGTATGTGGCTATAAGATAAGCAAGATAAATATGTAAAAATGAGAAAAAGAAAACAAAGTGAAAGAAACAGAACATTTATTCTTATACACAGAAATATTTCAATTGGACCACATCCTCTAAGCAAAATCAATGAGTATAAATTAACTAGCCTACACCAGCCAACCTATTGGCTTGCCAGTCTTTTCAGTTCGGCTTATCATAACTGACCTAGAGAAGTAATTACAAAAACTTCACAGAGTTGGTTAGAGAACAAGGGCTGAGCTTTGGTACAGGTTGGTGTCAGAAAACATAGAATGGTTGTGTAAGGATCCTGTCATCTTGGAACGGGTTTATAACTTTAAAATTTTTTATTTTTCACTCATGCAGAGTATACTCAAGCAGTAGTGCTCAGAATTACTAAGATTGGCGTCTAATTTAGGAAGCAAATAAGAATTTCATCTATAGCATTCACTCTTATAATAGAAACTTATAGTACATCAAGAGCACATTCTTAAAAATTGAATAAGAAATTAGTGTGCAAGGGTAAAAATATGCAATGATTGCATTTTTACTCTTCAAACAGACATGAAAACCAGAAGAACATAACCATATTGAAGAAATAGAATAGCAGAACAAAAAGAATCGCAAGCAAGCGACCAGATACATATTTTGATAAAAGAAATAGCCAAATACTTACAGAAAGGGTGTTTCCATATATCTTGTCAGTGATGGATTCTGGTGCAGGTTGCCCACTGTTGTAATTAAACTAGGAAATTTAAAGGAGAAAAAAAAAAAAAAAACAAGGAATTCATGTCAACTGGTTGGTTTGTAGGTAACTCGAAATGGTCAGTTCACGCAGCTATACCACTATATGTGATGGGAAAAAAATTAATTGTAACAAGGTACTAAATTGTAAACCAGAATATGTTAGGATGGTTTTTAAGTCATCAACGTGCATGATAAATGAAAAAAAAAAAAAATGGAGAACTAGCAACTACCACTAGTATGATAGTAGAAAAAATAGTTAAGTTTGCTGCATTACATGTCAGACCGTCATGCTTAATTGCCATATTTTTATACAGCTTATAGAAAATGTAGGGCAGGGGTTGAGAGTCAAGACGAAAATTTAGTTAAGCAGAAGTATAAGATGAGCATTAATAATTCACCTTGATACCCCAATCATATTCAGGCCCTCCAGGATTATGACTTGCACTCATTATAAATCCACCATTGGCCTGCAGAATATTTGTTTGGTCAAGCAGGAAAAGTGGAAATTTTATTAAGGATTTGAAATGAGTTGCCGAATCTCTGATCAAAGTATAGATGATATGCACTTGCCTTCCTCTTTCGGATCACTGCCGAAACAGCTGGAGTAGACATAATACCTTCCCTGGAATGGTGGAATGTTAGCACCAAAACAGAGCGAAAATTGCATAAACGTGAATTTTACCTTCAAGATTCCAAAAGTATAGCATATATACAACTTAAGATGGAAAAGTTATGCAATTATTTAAAGTTTTTCCAAAATGATTTTTAAGCAAACCATCTGGTAAAAGAGAGCTCCAAGGAGAAAACAAAGTTATACAAGTTACAATTGATTGATATCCCAACCTTACTATTGACTATTAAAATTGCCCAAATGACTACATGATTATCAATGAAACAATCCTGGGATTTTGGAGTTAATTAAATGCAAAAAAAAATTTGTTATGAACTCAATGTTTGGTTCTATCAGTCAGAAGTAGCTATCACATTTCACAAGAAATGGTTTCAAACATTTAGTCTCAGTATTTAGCATTAAGCATTCCCTATTCATTTATTACATCAATCTTCCTTTGCACATAAGCATTCCCTCCACGTGACAACAAAGTATCGATCACAGTACTTACTTGCCGACAAGGATTTTGCCAACACCGTTCCCTGCAGCAATTTTGATGATTATCTGCATTTCAAATCCAAACAACTCCACTGATGAGAGAAGGAACCACAGATTTAAACACATGTTATAAACTAATCATGCCAGGTTGATTGAGTAACAGCAATGACCTGGGAAGCTTCTCGGTTGAAGTACCGACCATCCCCTCCTAAGACCAGCACTCCATTCTTGTAATCCTCTGGTGGTAGTGAATTAAACAATGCCTACACGTAAAAAAATTCAAACTTTACCAAAAACCCTTCATCAAATACCCCCTAAACAATAACATAACACATAATTCAATGCCAGAAAACATGTAAAAGAAAACAATGAAACCTGAATCCAATTTGCAAGGTAGTTGTCCTCCATGAAAACCTTAACCTACAAAAACACAAATTTAAAACCAGAATAAATCACATGAGCCCATCATCAAAAAGATTAAAAAAAAAAAAAAAAATCAACTTACACCAAATACTTGATGTGTAATCAACAAAACACATAAAGCCCAGAATTCTAATTCACTTTCCTCTATTTTCTCAGAAACCAAACAGAAAATTACCTTCTTTCGCAGACCACTTGTCCCTGTCTTCTGACCCTCAATCGGCTTTGTTGGCACTGAATTAATCTGCAAAACACAAAAGTCATATCCCCTTCTGTTATTTATCTCCATATAAAGCAAGCATACATACAAATATTTGTATATACAATAAAGACAGAAAAGAAAGGACCTTGATGCCTCCAGGTTCAGCAATGGCAGTAGAAGAGGAAGCTTTGACAGAGAGAGAATAAGTAAGTGAATCTGAAGTTTTTAAGAGAGTAAGTTTTGGAGAAAATAAAGAAGAAGATGACAATAAAGGAGAGAAAGAAGGAATAGGAGAAGAGAGGACACTGCCATTTGAATTATTTTGCCTCAGTTTTCTAAAAGTTGATGAAAAGATCACATTTTCAAGCCTCAAACAAGAAGAAGAAGCCATTTTTATTGCTTGTTGATTGCTAATAAAAAGTGGGCAGTCTTTGTTCCTTTCTCTCAATGTATTCTTCTCTTGGAATGTAGAGATCAGGGATCACTAAAGAGAAAGAGAGAGGCTTTGGGATGTGAGTTAAGAAGAAGAAGAAGAAGAAGAGTTGAGGAAATCCATAACTGCCGCGTGTACTTCTAAAAGACTTATCTTCACTTCCTAGTCCTACTGCTACACTCCCCAGCATCATGTAAACTTCCCTTTTTTCCCTCCCCATTGTTTTTATTTTCTCTTTTCTATTTTTCAAAATATTCTTTCTTTTTCTTTTCCTTTCTTTAATGCAGGAACATATTATTTTGTTGTTGTTTGGTTACATTAACTGTAACTAAAATTAACTATTAAAGTATGTATGAAAAATAAGTGTTAAAGAAGGAAAAATTTATTAATTGTAGGTTCATGATTTGTTGGTAAAAGTAGTATTATATAATATTTTCATAACTTCAGAAGTTAATTTTATTTTATTGCGATGGCTAATTCATTCAGTCGTGGTAATACGACTTTTTTCAGCTAACTATTAATTAGTAACCATAACATTCTAACACCTAACAAGGTCCTATCTATAGCAAAATAATAATTATTATAATAAATAATTTTCTTTTGCTTTAAGTTTGTTTTATTCCATCGTAATTTTTTTCGTCGACCAAATAATAAATACAAAAAAAAAAAACTATATATACACACACAAATATTGAAAAATTTTGATGTTAATTTTTATATTAATCAAAATTAAATTTATCATTTTTTAAAATAAGTTGACATCAGAATATATTTAATACTGCATAAAATGAATTGTTGGAGTGAATAATTTTAATAATTTAATTAAATGATCTCATATTTAAATTTTTATCTATATAAATTTTTTTTGAACATCTGTGTTTGTTTTATACGTCTTATAGAATAATAAGAATTTAGTCTGAATATTTCAACATAATATCCAAATAAAATAAAAAAAAATGCTATGCCTACATGCATGAGCATATGAACAAGAGGCAAATGGAAAATGGGAGCATTCTCACCATGCTTGAAAAGCACTAGAGTTCCCATCTTGAGCCTGTTGAAGAATTCCCAACTCAGTATAAAAATAAAATGCATCCTTCAAGAGAAATTTTTAAGAAGTTTTTTTTTAAAAAAAAAAAAAATTGTTCAAATCTTTAAGCCAACAACCATACCAATTTATTAAAAAAAAATTAATTTACTAATTTGACGTGGTGTATCCTTATTCGACTAGTTAGAAGAAAATTTTAATATCAATTAACGCAAATGTGTTCTTAAAATTATTTTATTTAAAAAAATTAATTTTGATTAATATGTAAAGTAAACTGATACAAAAATATTTTTAAAGTAAAAAAAAAAGCAGTCATATGGACCGAGAAGGACAAAAAAGTCACACCAGGCCTGCCTAGAGGTTTTGGACATCTAAATCTAGTAGCCCAAATAAATAACATTGAGGAAGCCAATATACTTTAAGGCTTAAGATTTGTTTGGAGTTTGGTCCTTGCACTTAATTACCTTACAATCATACCCTTTCTATGAACACTAGGTTGTGGCTAAAGCTCATGGTCATAACTGGTAAAGCGGCTGATTGCTATCCAACTAGCCCCATAATCCAACCCTACAATTAATTTTTCTCCAATAAAATGTTTGAACTTTAATCTTGAAATGAATCATTAGATTAGTCTAATTATCGCATCAACGACGAGGGATTAATTTGATTTTTTTATATGGCGTAAACAAATTTAATTCTTTATAAAATGATCATTTTAGCCCTTTTGTAAAGATAATGATGTTGAAATGGTGAATATTGATTTACGTTTTCTTTTAATTTCATGTTTTTCAATTTTTTAATCACCACTCGTTTCTTTTCTTTTTTATTTTTTTGCAAATTCTTACTTTGGTTTCCTTGTTAAAAAAAAATAGCCAATTTTCTTTAGTTCAGAGTAAAAAGGTAAACCTCAATAACTCGAAAACATAAAACACAAAAAGAATTGAAAAAAAAAAAAAAAAAGAAGGAAGGAAGAAAAGGCTATAATTGGAGATGATGGATGCAAATTGAAAACAATTGTGAAAGTTTTCTTAATGTGGGCTTGGGCCTGAAGGTCATGAAGCCTATAAACCTGCGAATTGTTTGAGTTCTATACATATTTAGGTAGGCCCACTATTTTCAGTTGTTTTATTAATCAGCCTACCATTGTTTTGAAATTTGGTCAGATGGGCATTGTATGGAAAATGGAAAAAAGGAAAAGACTGTAATTTGCAGAGCACGAATTTGGGTATTAACTAATTTTTAGGATGTTTACCTTCCAGTTCCATGTAAAAAGGGAAAAGACTTGAGCCTTGTTAGACATCATCTTGAAAAGATGTTTACCTACCAGCTCTAATTGCTAGACACATACTGCCACACACAAATAGCCCCACCCATTCTTACAACTATCAAAGGTACTTAGTTAAAAACATGTGAACCACAAAAAGAATTGAAAAAAAAAAAAATTATGATTGCAGCTGATGGATACAAATTGAAAACAAATTGTAGAAATCTGCTTAATTTTGGGCTTGGGGCTATCTCATCAACCCTAGATACATGTTAATTGTTTTGATAATATATATATAATTATGGGGTTCTCCAAATTTAAACTCTATTATTTAAGTTTTTTTAATTGAGATTTTCTATTTAAAAAAAATTTGATTAAGATTTTTTAGTTTTCGAGTTTTTTTGTTTTAGATTCTCTATTATAACGTCACCAATTAATAATCTATATGTGACATTATAAAATAAAAAGTATCAAAGTGAAGGTAGCTTGTTGATCGCTGATTGGTAGAGCTATAATAAAATAAGTGAAGCAAAAAATCTAAAAAAATAAAGGACATCGATCAAAAAAATTCAAAAAATATAGGATTTGAAAATGAGAAAACCTTATAATTAAGTAGGCACGCTATTTATTTGTTTTCATAATCAACCTACCATTGTTTTTTCCTTTTATTATGGAAAAAGTACTTTGACTATAATAATAATAATGTTATAGGAATGCAACAGATTTTGAATCTTGCATTTAATTGCATTTTTTATTTAAGTTTATTGGTTGGCTGATCAAAGTAAAAGACGAACTAGTGCATAGAAAGGGAATGGAAAATATTTGATTACATAAAAAATATCGTATTGTAATAATCTTTTTTCAGATAAATTTTAGAGCACTAAAGAAATAACTAACAATAGTTATAAAATATTTGATTTGATTTCATATTTCTCATTTGATCACTTTTTATTTTTCATAAGAAATGAAATTAACTATAATCAACAATGGTTAAAAAAACTAATTAATTAGTTTTTAAAATAAAAAAAAGGATTATTTAATTTGTTTTCTAAAACTAGAAAGATTAATTTATAATTTACTCTAAAATTGTCACAGAAAGGGTACCATTAGCCACAAAATCAACATAAATACAGAGATACCTATTTCCTTTACAAATTTGGTCAAATGGGCATTATAAGCAAAATGGAACGTTACGACCATACAGTTACAAATCTGTACATGTTCGGACTGTAATTTGCAGAGCAGGAATTGGTTATTAACTACCTTTTAGAATGTTTACCTTCCAGTCCCAGGGAAAAAGGGGAAAGACTGTCTTCTTACACAGCATCCTGAACAGCTGTCTAAATGTCATGGCCTTGCCTACATTACCGCTACCAAGAATGCTTTATTGGAAAAAAAAAAAAAAACTATGAAAAGTCACATCACACGGCTACATGCAATAATTTTTGTATATTTTTAAATCTTATTTGACAAAACGAAGAGGAAGAAGATTTTTTTATTTATTCTTATTTGCCACCTAAATCAAATCACCTATGCAAGAAATCACATATACAAGTTAGTAGTTTTTTTTACTGCTAAATTTACTAATTATTTGTGATTTTTTAAAAAATTGTAAAATTATTAGTGAATCATTAGTGAGTTTTGTGAAATTTTGTAAAATAATTGTATAATTATTAATGAATTTAACACTAAAAAAACTAAAATGATTTGATTTAAATGTCAAAAAAACGCCATGTTTTGACAAATAACATTAAATAATTTGGTATTAGCGAATAAGATTTTTTAAAAAATTTATTTATGCAAAACACTCTTACATATATTCCTATTTATCATGAAAATTGCATCAAAATACCTTACACTATCCTTTACATTTATCTTATTGTATTTTTTTTTATCTTTTAATCGTTTCATTCTATTAATTCTTTAATATAAAAATATTAAATAACACCGTTAACACTACAAAATTATAATATATAAATAAGAATGTCTTTGATATGTGGTAAAAATAATAAAATATATTTAATATCTTTTAATTTCTTTTTATATAACTTAAATTATTAAATTCAAAATAAATGAGGAGATTTTGAATTAGATCCATCATGTTCTTCTTTGAATTTGAAAAGATCTAAATTCTAAAAACTTATCCTATATTAAATTCAAAATAAACGATGAGATGTTGAATTAGATGGATCATGTTCTTCTTTGAATATAAAAAGATCTAAATCCCCAAAATCCTATCCTATATTAAATTCAATATAAACGATGAGATTTTGAATTAGATGGATCATGTTCTGCTTTGAATACGAGAAGATCTAAATCTCCGAAACCCCATCCTTAACCAAGTTCTTCTAGAGGGAGAGAAAGAAAGAAAAAGAGCAGGTATAATGGGGGAAATGACAAGAGAAATTCGTAAAGAAAGTCTACGCAACTTGGGAAATGACAATAGTGGTACATATTGCATGAAAAGACACTACTACCAACCCTTTTTAATCATAGAATGTACCTCCATTTGCCCACAGATCGACACGCATTCATCATAATTCAATTTCCCCAGTCGTAAGAAAAAGACACCACAGCCCCTCCAACACCAAGAAAACAGTAACAGGACACTTAACAATCAGTTCAAAAGAGTACACAGAGAGAATAGAGACAGGGCTATATACAGGGTTAATACTAGATAGCATCAAAAGTGATTTTAGTCTTCCGATTTTCTTAATGTTATTTTTATATATTTTTTTTATTTAACTCTTATTTATTATCTTCAACTTTTCCTCATCTGTCTTTGTCATTTAAATCTAATTAATTTTTCATTTATAACTGACATATGACCAAAAATAGCCAAGTGACGTGCCAGGTTAGTAATAATTATAAACATGGTAAAACCCCTTTAAATTATATTCGATTTTTTTTTATTATGGTTATTGGATATGGAATGATGATTTCATAAAAGATAGAGGTAGAATCATTATTTTGGAGATGAGAAATAGATAAAAACAGATTTACAAAGAAAAAAATCTATTGCTATAGGAAAACAATGAATTACTGGCAAAATTCTATGCTTTTGTCAAATAAAATACTCCTCTTTCGTATCAATAATCAATACTCAATAAAAACTTATCACAAAAACATAACAAACTGACATTCAAGGACAAAGATAATTTTTTTTTAGTTGAAAGATTCCTTGAATTTAGTTTTTAGGCTTTATCACGATTGAGATAAATAGAAATGAAAAATCAATTAGCACTAGTAAAAAAAGACAAAGGTAACTCATCATTTATCGTTGAATAACGTTTAATTGGTGGATGGTAGTTTTTAGGATTTTAATTTAGATGTTTTCGAATTTTTGGGTTTGAAAATGATGAACATACGCAATTATAAGATTTTGGCTTAAAATAATTGGGAATGGATGATGAGTGGATAATCTCACCAACAAAGGCAATCAAATAACAAACAGAAAAACAATTTTGTTTGCGACTGAAAGGAGAGGGAAAAATTACTTGGTTTTTATACTTGGGTAATTTTTTTTTCTATTTATCTAGATATAATTTCAGAATTTTGGAAGCTTTGGGTTCTTTAGCCATATGTATAATTGTTACTGACTTGTCATGCCACGTGACTTTTTTTTTATTTTGGCATCCGTAGTTTGAAATGAAAAATTAATCGGATTTCAATGAAAAATATCACATTAAGAAAAATTAAAAAGTACAAAGAAGAATTGAATAAATAAAGAAACTATAGATGCTATATTAAAAAAATCAAAAGGTAGAAAAGATGTTTATGCAATTAACCCTATATATATATATATATATATGTATATGTATAGATGTTTTATTCTCTTCCATCGTTTTCAAGACTCATATATATATTCCATCGTTTTCAAATGTTACTTATATGTGTAGATATCTCTCTTATTCTCTTCCACCGTTTTCAAATCTCACTCACGCATGTACACACGCTATGAATATCTTATTTTCCTATATTGTTTTTAATGCATATAGCTAGCTAGTAAATATGGCAGAAGAAAGAAACTAAGTGAAAAACTCTCATACCTAGTTAGGTTTCTTGAGTTTTTTTTTTTTTTTTTTTTTAGATTAACGTAATCTTATAGTAGTTTAAAGTGATGAATCACTTCTTGTAAATATATAAAAAAATTAGTTAGGTTTCTTTCACTTTTTATCGAAACTAATGATTAATATAGCTACAGCTAGTGAAAACTAGGGTTGGTACAATTATGATGTTTTGAGCATATTTTTATATATATATATATATATATATATATATATATATATATATATATATTGCAAATTTAAGGAGGACGGCAAATTATGAAACTCAGAGAAATAATTAGGTTTTTCTTTTCCTAGTTAGTAAAACTTGACATAAATAGTAGCAAAATTTCCTCAATTTATTTTACCTCTCGTCTCCGATCATATGTATATTGCAAAAGAAGAAGGAAATGGTAATGGAAATGAAAAATCACCGAAATGCTTAGGTTTCTTTCACCTCCACCCAATCTATAGCTATAGTTATAGCTAATAAAAACTACCATAATTAGTAGCTAAATTGCTCAATGACATACATATAGATTTAACATAGCGGTTACGTATTTAGTCAAATTTTTTAATAAAAAATATTAAAAATTAAAATTTAAGAAATTAAGTGAAAATAGTTGGGAAAAAAAAAATCAGTCATCAGTCATCATCCATTACACAGAGGTAAAACACAACTCAGTATTATTTCTTGGTTTCTCCACTTATGGCAAAAAAAAAAAAAAAAAAAAAAAAAAAAAAAAAAAAATTCACTCCCAATTCTTTACTTTTACCCCTCCAAAGGAAAAAAATATATAACACACGTACTAATTGTCTGAACTTTTAAGTACTGGCTAGACAGTGAGAGAACGTTCATTCTTTATTGCTTGCGTTGTTAGGTTTTCTTCTTCTAGAGGGCAAAATTAAGAAATGGGGAGAGGAAAAGTCGTCTTGGAGAGGATAGAGAACAAGACCAATCGTCAAGTAACTTTCTCCAAAAGAAGAAATGGCTTGCTCAAAAAAGCTTATGAACTCTCTGTTCTTTGTGATTCTGAGGTTGCTCTCATCGTCTTCTCTAGCCGTGGCAAGCTTTATGAGTTTTGTAGCACTGAGTAAGCTACCTTGGCCTCTGTTTTCATTCTCTCTTTCTTTCCCTTTTTGCACACACACACGTATACATATTCTCTCTTACATACTTGCCATTTTTGCTTCAAAGATGCAAGATCTTTTCCATAAAATTTAGTTAATACTTAGACTTCCTTGGATCCACAAGGAGGGAGGGAGGGAGGGATTGGGTCTTGACTCGTTTTCATGTGTACTTTGTTATCCACAACCCCTTAGGCCGTTGTGGATATACAGAAGCACAGATCTTTCAGTGAACTCAGATAGCTGACTAAGAATCCTGGTTGAGGTGAACCAAGGTGGCGTTCACTTGATTATGCCATGACTTTATTACTCTCATGGGGTGGGTAGAAAGTGAGATTTTCTATACAGCCTGCAGGCCTCACCATCATCCTGGTTTTCGGCATGCATTTGATGTGATTTTATCTTTTGATTTGAATAGTGCTTTCCTTTTCTCCTTTACTTCTCTGAACTTGACTGTGACATTTGCTTCCTTTTCTCCTTTACTGTAACAATATTTTGGTTTCAACTTCATTTGGTGTGTTAAGTTTGAAGAACATTGCTTATACTGGTCGATATTTTTTGAATAGGTTTTGCATTCCTATACGTTTTCAGTACACCACGTCAAGTATCTTTATAACCTTTCATTAGTTTTCTATCCTCCACTATTAATCTTACTGTGTATTAGATTAAGAAACGAAAAACCAGCTGACATCTTACACAGAATTATAGAGTAAAAGTTTTCATAGGAAAAGATCTGCATTTTTTCTAATCAATGTCACAATTATTTATGATATTTTATATTAAAGGGTCTCTTGAATTTCCTTTCTGGGGAAGATTAAAAAGTTATATATATACATATATAGGACAGTACAAGGTTTTTCACAAGCGTTTCCCATTTTATGATCATTAGTCACTATGTATACTCGTATTCATCTTGCATTTTTTTCACGTTAATATTAAAATTTTATGATCATATAAAAAAAAAAAAAAATTGGTTTTCACTAGAGTATTTTCAGTACTGTAGGATCATATGTTTTTGTAATTTAATTTAAGAGTTTAATATTTCTTTCTTCTTAATCAGCATGAATGATACCCTCCAGCGGTACCGGCAATGCTGCTACAGCGCAAAAGACAGCGGTCCTCTTGAGGATGGGCCACAGGTTTTGTTTTTAGTCATCTTTAATTCCCAAACTAATTTTATTTCTAATTTCTTGAAAAATATAGCATTTGATTCCCATTTGAATGAATTCCCTTGTTTATAAAATTATTGATTCTCCTGACATGCTCGATTTTTTTTTATCTTTGCTTGATTTTTTTCGATTCATGTGCTAGATAAGAGTTCATTTCATTTCTTTATTGATAGAAGGCTTACGAGCTTTTAGATTACATAATGAGGAGTAGTCTTCTTCTATTATATAATTATCAAAAAAATTTAAAATTATTAGAACTCAAATTTTATTTCAGCGAAGAACACAGCCATTTCGTTAGATAAACGTTTATTTCTTATTTTAAATTCATTAATTTGTTCTCTTTTTGTTGATCAATTGCAGACCTTGTACCAAGAAGTCTCAAGGTTAAGAGCAAAGTGTGAGACTCTTGAACGCTGTCAAAGGTTATCTCATTTTTTAATCTCTTTTATTATTCAAAAAAAAGAATAAAACCTAACGCTCTAGTAATACTATTTATACTTAACCTCATTTCTAAGCCCTTGCTTGATCGAAAGAAATAGACAGAATAAGGTTTTAAGTTCAAATCATATACTTATATATTTTTTATTTATTCGATGTATGATAGATTTTCTAATATTAATAAACTAGAGACTAATGTATGTTTCTTTTTAAGGAATTTTCTTGGAGAAGATCTTGAACCACTTACCGTGAAGGAGTTGGAGAAGATTGAGAAACAGCTGGAAAAGACTCTTTCACAAGCCAGGCAAAAGAAGGTACATGAACACACCCATAATTCATGGTTAAATTCAAGGGATTTTTTTTTTAATTGTTATCAATTCTGAAGGCTATTATCTTGTTTCAAATGCAAGCTAGTTTCAGAATTTGATGCATTCTTTTTTGGCTTCTCTCAAATTCAATCTAAAAACTTAAATCGTTAAGTGAGATTCCATAATATGATTTATATTATTGTCTAAAACACCCATTCAAATGAATACGATTATGATACAATGTTAAAAAATCATCTCAATTTAAAAATTTAAACTATTAAGTGAAGTCTCAATATATAATTTATATTATTTTTTAACAATCATTCACACTAATTTGAAGTCTATGACCAACCAAAATATTTACAAGTTTTATTTGATCCTTTGCTAGAGTCAGGCCTTTTACTAACATATATCTCATAAATCCAACCTCATCTTCTCTCATCGAGTCTTTAGGGATTTCTGGACTCAATTTTTATAGACCATTGTAAAATTTTGCCATATTGCCTACTTGTGATACTAGGTTACACATTCTTTCTTTTAGGTTTTGATAGTAGTTAATATTGTTTTCTAGGTTGTCTACGTTGGTTTTTGAGTCTTCTGCTATTCGCTTTTTATATTTGAAACTTGCATAGACTCACTATCGCTTTATGCTTAATTATTTAATCGAAGAGAAAGTGAGATGATAAGATTTGAACTTGTGACTCTTTGGCTATCAAGGTTCTAATACCATTAAAAAAAATCATCTTAATCCATAAAATTAAAATGTTGGATGAGTCCTCAAAAATAATTTTATATTAGTCTCTAGCATTATTCTTTTTCTCTCATTGTTGGCTTTTGGCCTCCGAGAGCTATTCCTTATAACAACAAAGATAAATCATCTTTCAAATGGTAAAATTGCTACAAATGATCATAACAATGAACAACTTCTCCTTATCAATGCAGATAGAGGTGATGGTTGATAGAATAGAAGAGTTACGTAAAAAGGTATGACTACATTGTCACTCAACTTTGCTTCTATTAGTTGCTAAATATATCTATGACATCTTTAATAGCTATTATAATTACATTATAAGTATGGTAACTTTCAATTTTTTTTTTGTTTGAGTGAACCAATTTTTTCAAAATTGCTAATCAAGTATTTCGATAATTTTTTTTTTAACTAATGACATGTCTATTACCATCAAAATACCAAATTATAATTTTATTTTTATTTTTAATCGAGTACATAAATTTTAATTTTTTTATTTGAGTACATTAACTTTTTCAAAACTATCAATCAAGTACTTTTATCAATTTTTTTGTTATTTGATGACTTGTTCGAATACAAAATTACAATTTTATCATCTTTTTTGAATAAAAATTTCTTCCTAAATTATTTTACCATTTTAAAATTTGGCAAATAATTAAAAATATTAATTTTTATCAATAAAATTATAAACTAAACTTAGTTAGGTTCGTTGTTAAAAAAAAACAGTTGGGTTTGAAAGTGAAAATTGAAAAAAAACACAAATAAATCTTCTCGATAAAAAAAATTATCATATTTGTGTTTTTTTTTTTAAACTTTCATACCTAAAACCCTACTGATTTTTTTTTTTTTAACAGCACCTCTTACTAAGTTTAGTTCAAGATTTTATAGCTAAAAATAACATTTTTTTTTATTCTTTATCAAATCTTAAAATGATAGAATTAATAATTTAAGGAGAAAGTTCTTTACAACAAAAGAGGAAAACTATAATTTGGTATTTGAATAAGTCATCAATTAATGAAAAAATTAACAAAAATACTTGATTAATGGTTTTAAAAAAATTAGTATACTCGATCTAAAAAAAAATTAAACTTCATATACTTCATTGCGAAAAAAATAAAATTGTAATTTGGTATTCCGAGGATAATAAACACATCATTAGTTAACAAAAACATTGATGAAGGTACTTAATTGATATTTTTAAAAAAGTTAGTGTACTCAAACAAAAAAAAAAAAATTATATATTTGATTGAAAAAAGGTTGAAAGTTGGTATAATTATAATATAATTATCCCTTTAATAGCTTTAATCAAATTGAAGAGAATCTTTAATGAAATTAATCCCTTGATAGACCTGGTTAAATATCAAGTTTATGGTTGATATGTACTGGCATGCAGGAACAAGATCTTGCAGAAGAAAACGAACAGCTCAAGATTAAGGTGCCTTTATTTTTCTTGAATTCAGACTCTAATCATAAATAATGTACTTGTGCATGAAGGAAATGTATGGAAGCTGTTTAATTTCTTCCAAAAAGGAGTGAATTAAGCTGTGAAAATTTTGGCAATGGTTGAAATTTCAGCTAGAGGAAGTTCAGTGTCTTCCAGCTATTCAAGTTGCACGAGACCCGAGCAAGGCAGGTGGAAATAAGCAGACTAGGCTGCACCATTCCAAATCCATCTATGTTGAACCTCAACCCATTTTACTGATGGATCGGTATGCTTTCTTTCTTCAATTTTAATGAATTACTATGTTAGGATGTATATATATTGGAACTGAAATAACAAGGCGTACATAGGGTTAATTTGATTGTCGATGAAATTTATGTGTAGGAAAAACTTGAGGAAGATAGTAAGTAGAATTAACTTTTGTGCTAATCGATTCTAAAGTATTTTGAATTTTTGTTCAACATCAAAAGAATTTTTCTTTTATTTGAATTCTGAATATTTTTTTCATCTATAATTAAGTCTTTTCATCCTCTTAAAGAATCTTAGACAATATTATACGCATATAACAGATATTTAAACAATTAAAACATGACATGTGTCTTGAGAAAGACACTTTTAGATGCTTGAACTATTAAAACTATTAAAAAAATAATTTATGTCTTTTCACGAACGTTTAATATTATCCGAGATTGATGAACGAGATAGAATGACTTAATTGCGAACAAAAACAAAAAAAAATTCAGGATTCAAATTAGAATAAAAAAATTAGAGGTTTTTTTCTTTCACTTTTTCTTCACTTAATCTAAAACTTTTTTTTTTTTTAATACAAATTTGTTTCTTGTCAAACAGGCACCATCAATTTGTTTCCCAAGGACAAGGTGTTGATGCCAGGATTAATATTCCAGGGAAGAATAACCCTACTCTAGTATGGCTCCGATGAAGTATGCAATATCCTTCGTCATGTACAAGTGTGTAAGACGAAACATTGGGTTCCATGATGTGTTCCAAACTTAATGTCAATGTCTGATTGATGAACAAGAATTAATGTGTTGCGCTCAAGTAATGCCATTTGGGTAATAATTCTAATGAAGTCACATCTGTGCATACTCTTATACTCTTGAAGCACTTATGGCTTGCTATTTTTCTTGTTTAATTACAATGTTGTTAACAAAACTATAGTAATTAATCTTATGTATTGCTAAAAATATAACAAGTAAAAATATTACCCTTGTTACTGGAAATGTCGATATTTATTAAGGTTTTTCGTTTTGATTGTTGAAAATAATATAAAAATTATTTCGAAAATCTATGTAAATCATTAAGTAAAGACTTTGCAATTTGTCCAAAAGCACAGGAGAAATCACCCGTTCTTGACGCATATACTTCCGCAAGTACAAGGTTGCAATAACATGTTATAATGTTTTATGCTAACAACAATTTGTGCCTTAATCCTTGAAAGTGATTTAGACCTATCAATGTTTATAAGGTAGATATATCTATATGTTTATATATATATATATATATATATATAATACTAAAAGTCTTTTATATTTTTAAAATTTTTAACTGTATTTCATTTATTTCTAAAAAAATTTGAAATGTTCAATCTGTTTTTTTTATTAATTTTTTTGATTAAATATTTTTTTATCGAAAACCTCAGATTAAAATGTAAAAAATAAAATAAAAAAATTTAAAAATAAAATATTTAAGTCATGTGATTTTAAATATATATATTTGCATTATAGTAAAGGGCATTTCTATCAAAAAAATTTATATGATTGAAAAATTTGATCGAAAAGATAGATTGAATATTTTTAAAAAATTTTAGAGACATATTAGACGTAATTAAAAATCCAAATAAAAAAGAAAGATTTTGAGTATTATATAAGTAATATTTACCTATGTTTATTTTTTTGACAATCGAAATTCATCAAAGCACCTTAGGCAACTAAGGGTTAGCTACCAAGTCAATAGCAATACAAAAGTGAAAAAGCGTACGAAAGAAAACAAAACTTAAAATGGGCAAGAAGAAGAGATTAAACAACCTAACAATTTGTTAATTTGTAATTATATGTCTAATTTGCAGCTTTACATGCATAGAACAGACACTTGATGTCTGAAGAAGATAATCTGATGGTAAAAAGTAAAACATTTCGCCTAACTGTTTAAGAATTTTCGACCATAATCCTATTTTATTTGCCAAGTTAAACTGTCTGATCTCCCCTTTATGGTTCATGAAAAATTCTATAGCATTAAAATGGATAAAAACAAGAAAACAGAATAGATTTTGAAATTCCTCATTGGAAACTAGGATAACCAATGTCTTGAGCATTACAAATCAGCACTTGATGTTTCGTTAATTCTTGCGGAAGACATGGGAAACCTGCAAGAATCTTTGCTTCTTGTCACAATAGAAGAACCTTAATTTCTGGTTGTCTGATTGTGTCTTAAAAGCTATCCATTGCAGTAGCAGCAGATGATATTGTCTGCAGAAAATGTTCTTGTATAAAAGAAAAGGAAACAGGGTTTTGATGGTTCTATAATCACAAGTAGCCTTCATTTTCAAAGCTAACTTCTTTTCTTTCAAAACCTTCGATATTATAATCAGAATCGGATTTTAGAGACAGAGAGAGACTGAGGCTGAGATAACAAATTGAACAAGCAGACAGACAGGAAGGTAAGACTGTTGAAGAGCCGTCGATGAATTTTAAAATATTTAAAAAATAAGTATCAAAATTCATTTTATAAAACCTCTTAAAAAAGACACCAATAAATACAAAAAGAAAAAAAATATAAATCCAGACTATTAAAAATGATAATCCAGATAAATATAAAAAGAAAAAAAAATATTTCCAAACTATTAATTAAAATATTTTCAACTAGATTTATTTTAATTTTAATTATTATTATTATTATACCTTTGTCTAAGGACCATAAAATTTCTAGAGTCGGGTTTATCACGCACAAACTGGGCTTTTTGTTTGTTAGATTACAAGTGGGTCGATCGGGTCAATTTAAAACATCTGGCAACTTAGGTTACAAGCGGGCTGGGTTTAACAGATCAGCTCGGCCCATCTTCTTTTATTCTGAGTTCCATGCTTCATAGGAAAAAAACAAAGCAAGTAATTCTTAAGTTTTTTTTTTTTTCCCCCCATATTTAGCAAGTCTTTCTCAAAGCTCAAATTCTATTCTACTAAGCGATGCTATGGATATCCTTTTACTAAATCTTAGCTTTTCTTATTCTCTATCCCCTGTGTCCAAAAAAAAAAAAAAAAATGTATTTCTGCTTCTTACTTTCTAAATTCTAAAATTGTAATTATTTGGGAATTAATTGCCTCACCTCTAAAGGTTAATATTAGGATTCATCATTATTATCATCTTGACACAATCAAGGGGACAATCTGGCTAAAATTCTATGAGATATGATTTCCAAATTCAATGTGACAAAACTGGTTCGAAAATATTATTCAAGGTTTTATTTTATTTTATTTTTATGATGATGGCGATTATGATATAACCTTTTATTAGTTTGCATATAAAAAATTTGTTGACTTTAATTTTGACTCGAAATTATTTGCTAAAACGACTAGAATCCCTTCTGTTTAAGTCAACTCACTTGAATGATAGTTTTTTTTTTCATATTATAGACAAAATTATTATCATAAATTTAATGATTTCTAAATTAATTCTAATTTTTAATTGTTTTGGGATTCATTTAGAAGCTTTATGGAAATTTTCACCTTTATTAGTTATACTATATTTAATTGAAGAACAAGACGAGAATCCTCAAATTTCCTCAAAAATTGATTAGTAGGCATCATGGACCACAATTTATTGATCCCAATTTAGATACATATATCATCCTAAAAACGAATATTAAGGTGTGTCCCCTAATGAACGATATATCTTGTATCAAAGAACAATAATGTTTTTATAGGCAAGGTGAATTTGGATATAGATTTTCGATTAGTTGTTTATGGAATGATTTGTTGTCATTGAACAAGCCAAAAACTTGGTTAATTTGTCTGGATTATTTTATCTCAGCTTGGTGACGATTACTTTGAAATCTTTTGCGTCGATATAACTCTGTATGGATTTCATACAATCTTGCAATCAAAATGTTCTCTTGCTACAGAACAGAACAGAGTTTTCGAAGGGGTCTCTGTAGTCCAGACACCCTCTGTAATGGAACTGTGCAAATAATCCTGCACTTCAGCAGTATTAACATTTCGCAAAATATTATATCAGCGTAAGAACTCCTATCTGAACCTTTTCCTCTCCTCCTTTCATGCAGGATGAGAAGCGATTAAGAGAAGCTCTTCCATTTGCAAATGCCTGCGGTTCTGTCGCAGTGACAGAGAGAGGTGCAATCCCTGCACTACCCAAAAAGGATGCAGTCCTTGAAACTCCTAGGGAAAGTCTCTCCAAGATGAAAAGCATAATAGACATAAAATCAATCCTCGTGTTCTTTCTTGGGTTAAGTTGTAGTTCAAAATCGTCGAATCACAGCTAGGGTTTCCGCTTTGTATTTCTCTGCATGATCATGAACGTAAAAGGTTGTAATAATCATTTCAAGTCTTGTAGATTAGGTTATTTAATAAAACCAATGACCTCAAATCTCGTCTCAGCATGATCAGATTAAAACTTCCACTATCAAAACACAAGGGTGTTGACATTTTTGTTTATTTTATTTTTTATTTTTTATAAAAAAAATAGACAAATATTATGGAATGATTTATGAGAAAAGAAGAAATTATTTTTACAATAAAAGGAATTAAATATTTAGTTTTTAAATATGATCAAGGACTAATTATTTTGTTCTTCAAAACTAGAGTGACTAATTTACTCTTTTTCAGCTAGTATTGATAAAAGGAATCAGGGAATTTGATGAAGTCTGTTTTGGATTCGAGAAAATGAGTAGTAGTAGTTGTTCACTAAGTTTAATAGAATTGAAGTCTTTAAGAAATTAAAAAAAATATATATATATTATCAAATTAGAGAATGAAACTAGCAGCTGGACCAAAGAAAGCAGGTTGGTGCGATATCGTTGCTATTAGTGCATTGGTATGTTGTGTGGTATAATTTAGCGACTTTGCCGTTGGTTTTGTCCATGGTGGTGCGTGCATGGATTTAAGCAATCGAACACTTCAGGAAGAAAATAGAGATAATTTTATAAAGAATGGAGTAACTTATCAACTGTCACTAGTTAGTAACTTGTGTATTATAAAATTTATCGAAAATAGAAATGTCGATGGAAAGAATTCGTGCTGCCAAGTTGAAGGGGAAGCATTTTTGCTGTGAAAACTCAGTTTTTACTGCGAGTAATACGAGTGGTTTCTAAATAATTTAGTACAAAGTGAGTAGCCTGATTTCTGGGTGTTTAAAAATGATTCGGGATATGTAACGGAAGAAGAAAGTGAAGACATTAGTGTTGTTGATAAATTGATTTTGCTTCTTCATTTGATATGATGTGTATGTTATTGACTGTCTAGGCCTTGGAAGCAGCAACGAAAGTAGCTAAGGAAGAGGAAGAAATTAAGCAGAAGTTGTGCGAACTGCGAAGACTTAAATCAGCTGGTGAAGGATCTTCTCTAAATGAAGATGTAAACTTTGCAACTTCTTATTGTTTTTTGGATTTTCTCTATTTAATTCATCGTCTTTAACAGGTTCAAGAAAGCAGTGGCTCTCAGTTTTCTAGACTTTTGAGGAATTAAAAAGACACCTGGCTTCATGGCTTTAGGCCAGCAATATTTGGGCCTTTTGTGCCCATGATTCTTAACAAGATTTAAAAAAAAAAAAAAAAAAAAAAAATTTAAAAGAAAGAAAGATTTTAAAAAGGAAGTTGGCAAGATATCGTCCATGGGATAATCGAAGATTTTTTGAGTAATTTTGAAGGGCAACCAAAAGAAAGGGTATTGGTTAAGAGGCAGCCATGTGGCAATGCAGATTCTTACACCTGCGATGACAATATCATTTATCCAATGAATCAATCCACGTGTGCAATCCCTGTTGGACAACCAGATCCTAACCTCATCTGAAAGTTGGGCCACGTCTCATGTCAGCCAGGATTTCAAGCCCAGAAATAGTGGCTTCCCTTGATCTGGCCCTTATTTCCTGCCTTGTTCTGTTTATCGCAGGCAGCAGTTGCAGTCTCTCGTAGTCACATACTTGTGTGGTGCAGAAAGAGAAGGAAAAGGCAAAGCAGGAGAAATGGCAGTACAAGCACTTGTGTCATCGTCTCTTACATCTTCAGTGGAAACTGCAAGGCAAATACTAGGAGCAAGACCGACCCAATCACCGTTTGTGTCCACAAGGAAAAGCTCTTCTTTTGTTGTTAGAGCAGCTTCGACCCCTCCTGTTAAGGTCTCCTCCTCTTCTTTCCCTAGTCATTTCATTCCAACTGTTCAATAGAGGATAGCGCTGGTTATAAAGTGTTTCTTAACGAACCCTTCTCTTGCTATGTGATTTTTCAGCAAGGAGCAGACAGACAACTCTGGTTTGCATCGAAACAAAGCCTGTCTTACTTGGACGGCAGGTAAATCATGCCTGGAAGTGGATATATGTATGTATACGCTAATCATCATTTGTTGTTTGCTCTGTCTTACTTCGAACTTTCTCTACCTTGTAGCCTTCCAGGTGACTACGGGTTCGATCCACTTGGCCTTTCAGACCCTGAAGGCACAGGAGGGTTCATTGAGCCAAGATGGTTAGCCTACGGAGAGGTCATCAACGGACGATATGCCATGTTGGGAGCGGTTGGTGCCATTGCACCGGAAATTCTTGGCAAGGCTGGACTCATACCGCCGGAGACCGCCCTTCCTTGGTTCAAGACTGGGGTCATCCCACCGGCGGGGACATACAACTACTGGGCAGATCCATACACACTGTTTGTGTTCGAGATGGCACTCATGGGATTCGCAGAGCACAGGAGATTTCAGGACTGGGCAAATCCAGGCTCCATGGGCAGGCAGTACTTCTTGGGGCTTGAGAAATATTTGGGAGGGTCTGGAGATCCAGCCTACCCGGGCGGACCCTTGTTTAACCCGCTAGGGTTCGGGAAAGATGAGAAGTCGTTGAAAGATTTGAAGTTGAAGGAGGTGAAGAATGGTAGGTTGGCTATGTTGGCCATCTTGGGTTACTTTATACAGGGTCTTGTGACTGGTGTCGGACCATTCCAAAACCTACTGGATCACTTGGCCGATCCTGTCAACAACAATGTCTTGACCAGCCTCAAATTTCATTAGAGGGCATGTTATTGCCTGTTTGGGGATAGGAATATCTCACCTCCAACCCCCCGTTCCACTCCTCTCCTGTTCATTGTAACCATTGTGTGAAAAGCTCTACTGTAATTTTCTGTAAGAAATGACATGTTAAGGACCGAGATAGACCTGTGTTCATCGTCCTCTCTTGTTTCTCTTGAAATAATGAAGCAGCTTGATGGCTGTAACACGTTCAGATTATACAGCAACAAGTAACACCTGTAATGAAGCTAGAGATTGAATCAACTTGCTCAAATTTAAAACAATAGGATTAAACGCAGATAGAGCAACATAGAGTAAAATCTTGGTATTTTTTGTGGTTAAAGCTTCATTGTAAGAAACGGATTCTAATGTTCTTGAGAATATCCATAGGGGACGGTAAAGATAAACACGCTGCAATAAAGTGCTTCAATCGTTAATGTGTTAGTCCCCAACTTGAAGCAAACTTACAAATGCATTATCAAACCGATTAACAATATGCATTCAGATGAACTCTTTCGCTTGTAGTTTTCTATTCCCACCGACAGCGAAAAAAATTACTGTAATGTAAGGCTTTTCTGTCTTCCCTTAGCGAGTTCAACTATACCCACAAAAGAAAAGTTCAATCACACTGCCCCAAGTAAGCTTCAAGTAGAAAAAAGATGGTTAAAAGTTCTACACAATTTTTCCCAGTACGTAGAAAAGCTCATAATCCTGTAAGAGAAAGGAAGCAGCATTTCATAGTCTAGCCAATATCAACATTCTTTTCGGCATGGCAATAACAATAGCATCTGCTAGCAGAACACAAACTGGCCATCAAAATGTGACACAAGCAAAATGGTCATCACCTTCAGAATCACATGTTTAATTTGTTATTGCCTATCTTCATGAGTTACACAGATAAAGGAAGAGCATCTCCTAAAATCAAGCTGCCTGTGCCACTGGTTCATCTGCACTTGACGCCTCCTCCCTGAAAACCACGTCAGTTAGAATAACAAACATAGAAGGGAGAAATTAGGTCTTCTCTGCAGGATTTATGATTTTTCTCAAAACTACAGGCATTTAATTCCTCAACAGCCATCAAACAGAAAGAGACAAGGAAACAGCTGTACCATGTCATTAAAAACCAGTATAAATTGTGAAGTCATGTTTATATGATCCTATTCAGACGCCACACACCATATCTGTTACAGTGTAAGAGTGTTACACACAGAATTGCCACCAGGCTTACTGAGAATGGTTTCAAAGGTTCCTACCAGACTAGGGATGTTTTCCTGTTGTTATCCAGGCTGAGTAAGTTAACAGGAGCGAAGATGGTTATTCCTTGCCTTGGAACATTGAAATACCAGATAAGTTGCAATGAAAGAAAAAGACATAAATGTTAAGAAAGCCTTACTCCCTAGTCACTAGATCTGTGTTTTCTTCCAAGTGAAAGAAAAGGATTCTATACCTTTGAATTCCATATCCAACTTCCATTCTGAAAAAACTCCCTATCTTCACGGGTGAACCCACTTCCTTGGATAAATTGCTGAGCAGCGCCTGTGGGGCAGCATGGAAGACGCTTTTTTACCATTGTGTAAATCACAAGATGCACACATGAATAAGACACGTGTGCACACGCTTGTGTAGAAGAATCTAAATGTAACATGCCTCAATCAATCTATTTTGCATAAGATACTACATGGAGTTTGACTACATAATTTTAATCTGCCATTGACTAACATGCATCTTTTTTGCATAATAATATAATGATGTAGCATTATGACCAAAGAAAAATAGTGATGGGAATGCCATTGATCAATGATAACTCAAGCAGAACAACAAGATAAATATGCATCTCCCACAGGAAGTCCCAAAATGAGCTTATACTGATGCAAATCCCACTGAGATGAACATTGGAATCAGCAGCACCGATTCTTTTGTATCTGCAGTCCCTTTTGGAGGTCCAATCTTCAATGAAATCAATACCATTCAAAGCCCAAATCTAATTCTTCTTTTTTGTCAGAAAGGCTTAACCAATATTTGTGTAATAACACCATAACCAAATTCCTCAACCACTTCCCATCTCCAATTATTGCTGGTTAACTTCTAAGACATGCATCATACCGTACAACTTGCTACCCATACTTGTGTAATAACCAAGAATAGCTACGAAAAATAGAACAAAGTAAGATGGACTTCTCAGATCTAATATCATAGTTAACCTGCAACAACTGACAGACCTAGTATGGAGTCACAAGTCACTATTTACCTGAGACTTGAGAATTTCAAGTTCACTCTCTAAAGCATCAGAGGAAATATCTTCCTTTGTCACGAACAACGGTTTTGCTGCCATCAGATGCACTGCCAATTCTGATCCAACACACTGGAGAGCATCCAACTGAGAATTCCCATCCTCTATCTCAAGAGATAAAAGTCCAGCAATACGACCCAAACCTACATCCATGCAAACATATGATGAAGCAAACCAAATGAGATCCTTCGATAGCCCAGACCCTCTAGCTCATATGAAGTGTTAGCAATCATGGCATTTACTGTTGAGCATTCTATGACTATTAGCCAAGGGCTGCGTAACTGATGTGTGTGAATGCAAGACTAAAATCTTCTATGAAAGAAAAGGAAGGCAGTTTCAAAACACTCTACCTGGTTGAGGATAGTATCAAGGTAAGTGGAAAGAACACCAGGTGAAGGTGCAGACATCAAAAAGTCCCTTCTGAGTCTTACATTCTCACCCATAATTGCAGCTACTTCTGTGATTGCATTTTGAACAGTCGTATCTCCACTTATTTTTGGATGTTCAAGATTTAGCTTCAATACCTGATTAGGATAAAGTTATTCAGTCATAATGATCCAAGAAATCCAATTTCACTAAGAGATCCTAAAATGTAAGAGAACTCAAAAGCTACTTGAAGTCAGATTACCGCAGTATGAGCTACCGATAATTATCCCAGGAACAGTAAGGGTAAACAAACGAGTCTCATATCACCTCCAGAGACTCAAGTCCAACCGGATGGACCCCAGAAACCAGCTGAGAAGCATTTTCAACCAGCAAAGCCTGCATTAACCACAACAACAGAATAGGGAATCCTCACTAAGCAGCAAAGAACTTGGAAGCAACTTTAAATCCCCAGCGAAGGCTAGTACAAAGAAAGGGAAAAAAAACCACAAACTAACCAAGTACAGAAAAATTTCATTTCTGGCAACAAAGTCAGTTTTGCAATTAAGCTCAACAACAGCAGCCATCCCCTCATTCTGAGCCAATGCAAGCAATCCTTGATCAGTAGCTGTCCTACCCGACTTTTTCATCGCCAAAACTTTTCCTCAAATCCGTCTGGTCGCCTCTACATAAACAGAACAATTAATCCACAGAAACCCAAATATTCAAAAACACAAATTTACAGAAAAAAAAAATTCATTCATACCCATATCCCAATTGCATTCAACGAGAAAAGCCTTGACATCTTTGATTGGAGCACTAGTCCGTTATCTCAGTTGCTTAATGAGATCCATTTGGACTGTTGCACCAGGTGCTTGAGAGCCTAATCGCCGTGAAAGCACTTCAAAGGCATATCTAAATGCAGTTTTGTTATCTGCCGACTGAAAAATTGAAGCGGCGGTGGAATAACTTTGTCCAAGCTAGCCCCCGGCTTGGTACGTAGCATCATTGAAAGAGGACTCGTTGCATTTCTACAGACAGCCATTTCTACAAAAACTACTACAAGCTTTAATAACATAGAAATCCAACAAAGAAAACCTACTCAGATTCAATAATATTAAAAAAAAAACTGAAAATATTAGACTAGCCAAAACCCACAGAATCAGTGGGATTTAAGGGTTTCGCATAGATCGGGGCTATGGATTTTAAGGAAATTTTTTTTTCTTTGATTGCAATTTTAATAAAGAAAAACTAACCTGAAACTGAAAGTGTATCGAAATCAACGTGAATGAGGAGTGGCGAAAGAGAAAGGAGGGAAAGCAGGAGAGAGTGACTGAGACTATGATAACGGATTTAATGGGCCGTAGAGGGTTGGTTTGTCATGCACAAGCTGGGCTTTTTTATCTGTTCAGGTATAAGTGGGCCGATTGGGTTAATTTAAAACATGGTTCAAATCAGGTTCCAAGCTGGGCTTCTTGTTTGTTCGGGTACAAGTGGGCCGATCGGGTCAATTTAAAACATTCGGCAAATCAGGTTCCAAGCTGGGCTTTAATAATTGCAAGAATAAGTAACAATGAGTTAGTGATTTACATTAATTTTATTATTTTTTTTTTTTGGGCAAAGCATCTCTGATCAGAAATACAAGCAAATGGGATGTGTAATAATAATAGTAATAATAATAATAATAACAACAAAAACTGGTTGCGCCGCCCATGTATTCTTTCTTTCAGCCATTGGCGGACGGCTGCAACTTGGTGTATGCGCCGCCAAAAGTGTTGCTTTTACTCGAAAGTTTTGGGTTGAAATCCTTACAAAGAATGGTATGAAAATTAAAAAAAAAAAAGAGAGAGGTTTTTGGACTAAATAATTAAAAACAATGGATTTTTATCATGTTTTGTCATTTTTTTTTATAGTTATGATAAAAATGAAAAAAATTAACTACTTATTGTTTTGTTTTACCAAATCATTGGATTTAAAATGATGAGATTTGGAACGTGACATATTCAGAATCCACCAAAAAAAAAAAAAAAAAAAATCCTATCTCAAAAAAGCTGTCTAATTTTCTATTTTTATCTAGTCAAAGCATTAAATCATATATTATTCTAAAATACTCTAAGTTAAAACACATTTAGTGTGCCCAAATATCTTTTCTCAGATAATAACATAGTGTTGTTGTTATTGTTAATTTTTTTTGTTTAATAGTAAAAATATTATTAGATCATATTTTACGTATATCAGGGCTAATTTTTTTCTTGACGTGATTAAAAAATACTTTTTAACATATGATTTTGAATAGTTTAAAAATAAATTTTTAAAAATACTAATTATAAAAATCGAATATTAGACCTCCCCTGCGAATCAACATTTAATTATTAACGGAATATTATTTTGTAGTTTATTATTATTATTATATATAGACATCAATAACATGTTAACCTAACAGAAGGACAAAGAAGCAAGGCAGAGAAACTAAAATAAAAGGGGTAATTTAAAGGAAGAGGGAAAAAAGAAGCAAAAAAAAGGTCCTTTCGTCGCGAATGAGCGCGCTGCTTTCTTTGTCCACTTGACATTTCGAACGATCCTTCACGAGTGTGTAAGTTTACAACAAAACAATCACGTCCACCGCCTCCTACTTATTCTCTCCCTCTCTCTCTTGATTCTTGGTTTTAACGCTTGTAAAATGGCTCAGGATCACGTTCCATGTAAGTTTTTTTTTTTTTTTCATTTCGTTGAAAACTTGTTGCTTTTTTTATTGATAAATATTCATTACTATGTTCCTTGTTTGTTTGTTTTCATGTTTTTTTTCGATGATTTCTTATCTGGGTTTGAGCTGGTTTTGTGTTTTTCTCTCATTTTTATTTTCTGTGTGTATGATTCTTGATCTTGGTTTTCTTGTTTTTTTTGTTTAATAGATCTTTCTTTATGCCTCTTTAGTTTTTCTCTCTGTTTTGAGTCGTGTAGAAAGGTATTATTTCCTCTTATGTTGTTGAATGAAGTTGGTATGTACTAGCTTATAATGCTTTAAGGGGGCCACCCCTGAAAGGGATAGAATTGAATTTTGTGTATGATTCTTGATATCGGTTTGTGATCTAATCAAGATTGAAGCTTTGTGTTAAATTATGGTTAGTTGGAATGTTTTTAATTGAATCTGATTTAAAGAGAATTTCTTGCCATGGGAATGTCAAAGGAAGACATCATGTTACTATCGGCTTCAATTTGGTGAGTGTTATTGCACTTAATTATATGCAATTTTTTCTGATACCAAGCAATTGCAAATGTATAGGTGATTCGAGTAATCATGCATCGAACATGAAAGAAGGAGCAAACGACTCGCTAGTTGTTTGTTTTGGGGAGATGTTGATCGACTTTGTACCAACAGTTGGTGGGGTTTCACTGGCAGAAGCACCTGCTTTCAAGAAGGCCCCTGGTGGTGCTCCTGCTAATGTAGCTGTTGGTATATCAAAACTAGGTGGATCATCAGCTTTTATAGGCAAGGTGCATTTGGACATGGTTTTTCCATTACTTGTTTATGGAATGACTTTTTGTCATTGCACATGCCAAAAACTTGGTTAATATGTCTTCATTTGGTGTTTTCTGCATTCAGTGAATGAAACTTAAACTTATGGCCTAATGTTATTTTGTAATTTTGCACTAAACTGTTTGTTGCAGGATCTCAGTTCCCTGTTTTTTTATGTTGTCAACAGTTTTGGTGTCCATGATTTCTTTTTTTAATCTAGGCATGATCTTAATTCAACCTTTCTGGCATTTTATCTCAGCTTGGTGACGATGAATTCGGGTATATGCTGTCTGACATTTTGAAACAAAACAAGGTGGATAACTCTGGCGTGCGATTTGATTCTACTGCAAGGACTGCTCTGGCATTTGTGACACTCAGAGCTGATGGCGAACGTGAATTCTTGTTTTTCCGTCATCCAAGTGCAGACATGCTTCTTCAAGAATCGGAATTAGATATAAACCTCCTTGAGCAGGTCAATTTTCTCCTTCTGGTTTTAGTGAGAAGATGTAGCATATTAGAACATATTGCACAAGATTTTCAAATTCTGGCTAATATCCAAATGAAAAATGTTTCACTTTCAAAATCGTGTTGATTGCAGGCCAGGATCTTTCATTATGGATCAATTAGTTTGATTTCAGAACCTTGCAGGTCGAGTCATATTGCGGCAATGAGAATTGCTAAAAAGTCTGGCAGCATCCTTTCTTACGATCCAAATTTGAGATTGGCATTATGGCCATCAGCAGAGGCTGCTAAGAAAGAAATAATGAGTATATGGGATCAAGCTGATGTTATAAAGGTGTGGTTGAAACCTATTGTTGCACGAGCGGATATAAACTTGCTCAATTTTATTATTTTGATGTGAAACAAATGCGGATCTCTCATGGTAATAGATTTGGAACTCATTGTGTTGATTATACGGAATTGCAGATAAGTGAGGACGAAATTACATTCTTAACTGGATGTGATGATCCTAATGATGATAAAGTAGTCTTGGACAAGCTTTTTCATCCCAATCTGAAGCTTTTGATTGTAACTGAAGGTTCAGAGGGTTGTCGATATTACACCAAGGTAACCTTAAAGATTATAATTATTGCATATATATAAATATATACCTTAATGTTGAACATCGATGATCAAACTAAAGACAGGTTCCAGATTCTAATCTACCCGCAATTATATTCTAGGCAAACTCCAAAAATGTCCCTTTAGTGTTTGTAGAAGAGGCTTTCTGCTAAACTGCTCCTTTTTCTCTTCTTTTTTTGTTGTTGGTGATGCAAGTTCATGTTAGCTAAGGACCTCAGGCAACCAAGCCTTTGGTAAAAAAATCAGTTGTCTTAGTTATCATGCTTGAATAGTTTTCCACTATTTGAACTATCTAACCATATGAATAACTGAAGTTCTGTTGCAATCTTTATCATGATCTTTTGAATAGCATCATCCATGTCTTACCAGATAATATTATAGAGAAATTTTTTACTGAATTTCTCCAAAATGACAGTATGCAATTACGTAAGTCAGAACCTTGCACAGTGAATGTAACCTTCTGAATACATTGGTGTATCTAATGCAAAATGAGTTATCGGCGTAGGTGGTTAAGGTGCTTGATAGTCAATAAACAGTTTGAAAATTTGCAGTGAAAAATGAAACTGTAACTTCTGCACTGCTTGTAGATGGTTTATGTTTGTATATGATATGATTTCATATTTCGATGCGGAACTGGTATTGATATCAACTAAAACCCAATGCAGGAATTCAAAGGCCGGGTTCCTGGTGTTAAGGTGAAACCTGTTGACACAACCGGTGCAGGTGATGCATTTGTCGGTGGGATGTTGAGCAACCTAGCTTTTAACCTAAATCTATTCAAGGTATGCATAGTTGCACACGGAATCAGAATCGTTAGATCTTTTTCTACTGTCAGTTATTTTGAAATCCTTTGCATCAATATAACTTTGTATGGATTTCATACAATCTTGCAATCAAGATGTTCTCTTGCTACAAAACAGAATAGAATTTCCTAAAGGGTCTCTGTAGTCCAGACACCATTTATAATGGAACTCTGCGAATAATCTTGCACTTCAGCAGTATTATTATTTCACAAAATATTATGTCATTGTAAGAACTCCTACCTTAACTCCTAACTGAACCTTTTCCACTCCCTCCTTTCATGCAGGATGAGAAGCAATTAAGAGAAGCTCTTCTATTTGCAAATGCCTGTGGTGCTGTCACGGTGACAGAGAGAGGTGCGATCCCTGCACTACCCACAAAGGATGCAGTCCTTAAACTCTTAGGGAAAGTCTCTCCAAAATGAAAAGCATAGGCATGAATCAATCCTCATGTTTGTGTTAGATTGTTGTTCCAAATCGTTGCATCGGTTTTTCGTATTGTATTTCTCTTCCAAGGTCCATGATCATGAACATAAAAGGGTTTAATAATCCTCTCAGTTGTTGTAGATTAGGTTATTTAATAAAAGCAATGACCTCAAATCTCATTTCCACTTGATAAGATTTAACACAGCTATGGCCTATAGATCACAAGCGTGACTACTTTCTTTTTCAGCCATGTTTGTCATAATTGCTTTATATGGACCATCTATGGTTTACCGGTAAATTTTGCTTTTATTATATTGCGATTAGGAAATTTTGGATTTATAGTTTCAAATCGCTTAATTTAAATTGTAAAGTATTGAATATTGGACAAATGTGATCTAAATTATTTAATTTTTGTTATGTGTAATGGTCAACTGGATTGATCATTACTTGGAATGTTAAGACGACGTTATTTTGATATTTTGTTAGTAATTTTTTTTTTTGTAAAAAAAATATTTGAAAAATATTTTTAATTTGCTAATCTTATCTTTTTAAAAAACTTTTTTTCTTTAATAAATTATATAAAAAAATGTTTTATAAATATTTTTAACTCCTCTAATTTTGAATTTTTTTACATAAAATATTATAAATATTTTATAAAAAAATGTTTTTTAATATAATTTATAAAATTAATGGGGTCAATGTTTAATTTTGCTCATTTTTATTTATAAGTTTTTTAAGTTTTGAAATTGTGTATTGTTAATTATGTTTATTTTACAATAACATTTTATTAAAAACATTTTTTTAAAAAAAAGTTCAAAATTAGGAGGTTAAAAATATTTATAAAATATTTTTTTATATAATTTATAAAATATTATAATTATAAGGGAAAAAAGTTCAAATTTAGAAGGGTTAAAAATATTTTTAAAATATTTTTTAAATGATATTTAATAATGAAATACCAAAACAGCACCGTTTTGGTTTTTCAAATAATGATAAATGAGTTGATAATGAAAATTGAACAATTTAAATTATATCTATCTAATATTTAATATTTTAAGATTTAAATTACATAAATTTAATGTTATAAATTCGAAATTATTAAATTTTTATAAAATAAAAACAAAATTTACTATTAAACCGACGATGTGTGATTTAGACATTCGTACTGTGGACATATAGGCCTGGACGACTGCTTTTATCATCTGGCTTTTTGTACAGAGATAGAGAGGAGTGATATCCAGCCTAGCGCATGATCTAGAATATGCAAAGTTTTCTTTTTTTATTGAAAAGAAAAACTAGAATATACGATAAAGATCGTGATCGCGAGGATAAATTATAAATTAGTCCCTCTTGCATACGGAAAGAATTAATTAGTCTCTTTTCTTTTCAAACATTGATAATTTAGTTTTTACATTTTAATTTAGTCTATAATTTAGTCTTTCCATAAGTTTTTCGTTAACTTAATAATTTTTTTTTAAATTGTTACTTTTTTTAGTTGAAAAGAGAGAAAGAGAGTGGAAGAAAAAGAATTATTAATCTATAAAATAATTAAGCTATTGGTGAAATTAAAATATAAAAAAATTAAATAATTAATTTTTAAATTAAGAGAAATTAACTAATTTGTTTCTCAAAATAAAAGAGGCTAACTTATAATTTACCCTGGTTGTGATCCTGATTTTCAGCGGAGTAAATTATAAATTAGTCCTTTTAGCTTTTAAAAATAACTTAATTAGTTTTTTAATTTTAAAAACTAATTATTTAGTTTTTTTGTTCATTTTATTTTTAAAAAAATAACAAATAAATAAATATTTGAAAAAATTGAAGAGAAAAAATAATTTTTTATAATAAAATAATATTAAATTAAGCATAATCATATATATATATATTTTTAAAAGCAAAGGATTAATTAATTGTTTTAGGGATTGATTTATAATTTATTCATTTTCAGTGCGTATCGAAAAAATTAGCCGCATGAAATTTGGGTGTGGGTCCCACGCTACCAGGTCCCAAAAATTGCTGCGTCACTTTGTCCTCACCCACGTGCCTAGCTCATGCATGCGTTAAGTCAAGGAAGTAAGTGTTAATCACGGTTGATGCAGATTCTTGTAGCTCACATGGCCCAACTCCCCATCCAATGAGCAGTTTAGGCATTAAATAATAAAATTTTGGGTAAAATACATTTTTACCTCATAAATTTGTCAATCTTCCACTTCAGGCCTTATAGTTTAAAATTTTTCAATGTTCTTGTTTTTTCTCAACGTTTGAGCAATTAATTATCTTCTCTCCTCTATCAAATAGTGGATTTCTCAAACTAAAATTCTAACATTAATCTGCACCATACAATTCCAACATATATTTTTAGTATCTTCAAAATCACATATTACTAGTTCACACGACCTCTAAAATATCAAAACAAATTTTTAATAAAAAAAAGCTCTTTTTAGGAAATAGCCACGTATTTGAAACTCTCATTCAAAATATATTGGCAATCATTAAAAATAATATTTATGCATTATTTGTAAACAAAAACCCCCAAAAAAATTAAATCTACCTTAAGAGAGCCATTTATGAAAAAAAAAAAAAAAACCTTCATCCTTAAGGGGTAAAAAAAAAAAAGAATAGGAAGGAGAGGAGCAGATTGATTTTTTTTTTTTTTTTTTTTTTTTTGTAAATAAGGCAATAGACCAAATATTAAGAAGCATAAAAAAACAGCAAAAAGAAAAAACAAAGCTAATTATAGAAAAAATAATAGCAAAATCAGGGTAAAAACACAAAGTCAACATAGTAAATAGAAAACCATGGCTAAAATTTCTATTCCAAAACCATTAAGAGAGCCATTTATCGTGACAAAAATTCAGCAAAATAATAGAAAATCACATATCACGAAAAATACAATTTTCTAAAGTTAAGTCTATATTGTAAAATCCTCACCACAAAGGACCATTTCTAAAAAAAGAGAAATAAAAATTAAGAGCTTATAAGTTAAAAAAAAAAAAATCAAATTTACTCTAAAAAGGAAAAAAGGAAAAAAAAAGAAAAAGGCAGAGCTTCGAAGGAGAGGATATAGCGTTAGAGAAAGAAGTTTTCAGCACATCCCATCTATATGTTTTTGCTATAGTTTTATTTAAGAAGAAGAAGGTTCACTTTTTATTTTATTTTATGAAATACATGAGAAATATTAGAAAAAATTAAATTATAAAAAAGTACTAAAAGTGTAACATTGAATTTTCTATGAGGACCGAAATTAAACTTTACCCTATAGAATTCTTTAACAACTAGGAGACGACTTCTAATTCAAAAGCTCAACCGGTTTCCAACCCGAAATATCGGCCACTCAAACACTGTCTTTTTAAATAAATAAATAAATAAAGCAAATGACAGAGAAATAAATCAGTGATTTTTTTTCTTTTTTCTGATCATAGTTTGTTTAACTGATAATTACTCGATTAGATTTTTTTTTGGTTGAAAATTTCACGTTTCTTTGAAAATAGAAAGAAAGAAATGTCATCTTCGTCTTCTACAAATCCGTCGACGATGCTTAAACCGGAGATCGGACCTGACGGTCTTCCTCGAGAAGCTCCTGTCATTGCCTACACCGAGAAGGTATCCTTCTCTCACTCTATTCATAATTATTACAATCATCACTGAATTTGTTTATTGAATGTGAATAATTCTGATTTTTTATTTTTTATGATAGATTATCGAAGAAGAGAAACTTCAATTAAGGAAGTAAGTTTTGCCTTTCTCATTTTCTTTGATCTGTAATTGGAATTATGAAGCTAATTGTGAGATAATGTAGTTTCGATAATGAGTTTAATTGGCGTTTTAATCTGTTTCTGAGAATTTTTTTTTTTAAATTACTGGAATCAGAGAGTTTGATGAAGTCTGTTTCGGTAATCGGATTCGAGAAAATGAGTAGTAGTTGTTGTTCATTAAGTTTAGTAGAATTGAGGTCTTTAAGAAAATAACAAGAAAAAAAGCTATTAAATTTTATTTATGAATTTTTAAAATTTATGAATTTCTTTGGTACTTTTTATGTCAGATATATTGAGGAAAATTATTCGAAGATCCGTGATGTAGAGCGAGAGCTGGGGAATCTTACGTTAGAGATGAAACTAACAGCCGGACCTAAGAAAGCAGGTTGGTGTGATATAGTTGCTAATTAGTGCATGGGTATGTTGTGTAGTATAATTTAGTGACTTTGCTGTTGGTTTCGTGTATGGTGGTGCATGGATGTACTTAAGCACTTGAACACTTGAGGAGGAAAATAGAAATGTCGACGGAAAGAATTCGTGCTGCCAAGTTGAAGGAAGAGGAAGCACGGAAGGTTAGTCCCTTTTGTTGTGAAAACTCAGTTTTTACTGTTTGTAATACTAGTAGTATTTAAATGATTTAGTGCAGTGAGTAGCCTGATTTCTGGGTGTGTTATAATGATTCGTGATATGTGTGGTGGATTATAAGAAGAAGAAAGTGAAAGCTGATTCCTTCTTCTGTTGCATTACTTTGTGTTATGTTCTGCATATTTTCTTATTTCATTAAATTACCTTTTTCTACCGAATTTAACCTTAATTATTTGGAATTAAGAAACCTAGACATTAAAGTTGAGAAAACCACAAGAACAGGACTGGTCTAGTATGTCTATATTATCTTTAACACGACTGATAAAATGGGATAAAGCTGTGAGCTTTGAACTCAATGTTAGGACTGTATATATCAATGCTATTTGCTTGTGCTGGAAGACACTGCAACTACACATGCACCAAAATCTTTTTTGTTTTCTTTTTGTTTTTCTTGGATAGATGAATATTAATTTGGTGAGGAAACTAGATATTACAACAAGAGAATAAGGTACTTTCCTATAAGTGAAAATGAAAACACCTTCTGCCTTCCATCCTTTCAAATATGAGCTGAACTCCTTGGAAAGACCAAAAGGAAAAAAATCAAAGGTCTTTTCCATTTTGCTAAATGAAGAGATGCTTTTTAAGCATAAGTTTCCGTTGATTTTCGAATCTTTGGAAATAATTGATTGCCTTGAGATGGAAATGTACAATCTGGCCCATGATTTTCTTGCTGCACACAGTGGGAATTTGTGAGATATTTTGTTGTTAATATGTTAATGTTGTTGATAAATTGATTTTGCTTCATTTTGATATGATGTGTGTGTTATTGACGGACTCTAGGCCTTGGAAGCAGCAACGAAAGTTGTGAAGGAAGAGGAAGAAATTAAGCAGAAGTTGTGTGAAGACTTAAATCAGCTGGTAAGTGTCTTCTCTAAATGAAGATGTGAACTTTCCAACTTCATATTGTTTGTCAGGTTTTTCTATTTAATTTATCATCTTTAACAGGTTCAAGAAAGCAGTAGCTCTCAGTTTTCTAGACTTGAGGAATTAAAAAGACGACTGGAAGCCTTAAACCCAAGTAGAGCATCTATATCTTCTCTTCCTTCTCATGTAAGCCCTCTTTCTAAAACGCTCAGTCATATCTAACTATATATAGATACATGTAGTTAGTTACTTGGACAACATTCTCATGGTCTACGGTCACATGGATTATTCATGGTTATGGGTCAGCTATTAATTAATATGGCGGTTTCTTTAGGAATGCATTGTACATGTGTGAAAACATATTGGTGTATGTGCGTGTATAACTTACTTTGCCAAATGAGGCAGTGAATGGTTATTGTTATGTTCGTGGTGTTGAAGATGATGATAAACAGGCTAAGAAACAGCATCTGATACTAGGGATCAAGAAATTTGTATTTTGGACACATGCCTAGTAACTCAATTGAGACATAATATTGGCTTTGAAAATGTTCTGAACTGGACTAAAATGAAAATTTTATTTGCATGAGATCCTAACAAAATCAGTAAAACCATAACACTAGGTGTGTTCTGAAAGCAGCTGCCTTTAAGGAGGCTAATTTTCTTGAATGTTTCATGTACTGTCATAATTTGGCTGCATTTCTCATATGCATCGCATCATGCTATTCCTCGGTCTGCTAGTATAGGCATATACTGATTTACACATTGCATTTCAGTTGAGATATTGTTGAAAGTTTGCACTTGTGCTCATCCATAGGATGGGAAACCAATGGGACCTGCACCAAACAGCCCAGCTCAAGATGCCTCAATTCCCCTTTCAACAGCACCTGGTGCTGGAGTTGCTAAAAATGCACCTAATGAAGCAAATGGGGGAAACGTCCAAGTCCCGAATGGGCAAAATCAACTGCCGAACGTTGAGGCAGAAGGAAGAGGAAAGAAGAAAGTCCATTTCCAAGGAAAGGGAAGGGGAATTGGGGCTGTTCCCAAGGGTAGAGGATCTGGCCAGCCTGGCTGGACTGGGGCAGGATTTGATGTGGACGGTAGAAGTTAGAAGCAACATTTCATATTCTCTTCCTACACTGAAACCGTGAGACAAACACTTCTACTTTGCTCTACCGAGCACGTTCTTTATTCCATATATGCTGGTTGATTTTTCTCACTCTATTTATTCATCTGGTTACAGCTTCTTGATATAGAAAATTCCGTCCAACTTTTTGAACTTCACATTGCTACTCTACCCTTGCCTTATTCTTTCTTTTCAACTGGGCATAGCTGTAAGCTGAAATCTCTAGACTCCCTTTCCCTTCACATCTTGCTAGTTTTCTGCCCCATGTATTTTTTCACTTATCCATAATCTCTTGACAGTTAGTCTCAAATGCCATTTGAATTATATAATGAGAAAATCTACTAATTTCAAATCTAATGGTTTAATTTACTTGGTTGCAAATGGAGACCTTCAACCAAGTGTTCAAGAACAGCATGGTTAATTTTCTTTTTTTCTTTTCAGCTAGCATTCCTCATCATTTCATTTTCACCCCCTTGATTACCAATAAAATTTTTCGAATTGCTGTCAAGAACGCGGAAAAAAAGTAGTGGGCTTTGAATTGAACAGTTGAAACCTTATCATCCTCTTCAGTCAGTAATATGTTCCCTAGATTCTGAAACTTGTTCCTTTTCTAGTGTCCTTTATGTAATCATGCATTTGTTTGACACATAATACACACTTTCTAAATCCTTCCTTTCCCTCTTCCATCTAGCACTTGGCATTACCTGTTTTAGATTTCCCATTCCTTAAGATTCCAGAATTTGTTCCCATCTAATCACTTTTCACTTCCATCATGCTTTCTGAGAAAGCATCATTGAATTCACATGCTCGAAATGTAAGTCTCTCCAAGCATCATTGTATATATTTTTTAGTTCCAAATTACCCTCAAACAGTCCAAAATCCTAGGAATAATTAGACAATTATAGAAAAATAAGTAAATTTTCATTATTCAGTATACAGATTTTAGGATTCAATTTCCGAAAATTGAGATCTAATAAACCAGGCCTGGTCTTCTTGAATTATATACGGAACAGTGACCTTACTGTACTTTATAACTGTTCTCCGTGCATGACATCATCTGTCTCTGTACCTGCTTTTGCTGTGGATGGGATTGATAGTAATTGCATATGTTTGTACAACACAAGACTTGATTGGTCCATTCATCTTTATTCAACCTGAAGAAATTCGTACTGTTTCAAATTCAAACTTTGGAAATGCTTTTATTTTATATAAGTTATACTCTTAAGGGTTCCTGTAATTTTCGTACCTATAAAAAATAGTTTAACCAACATTGATATCCTAACGATTTTTTCTGCTCCAGTTGGATCTTTTTTTATTTTATTTTGATGAGGGATTAAATGGACCTTTGACCCAACTAGTAACCTAGGGTCCAAGAAGTGATTTTGTGGTTAATGGAATTGTACCCTACTCACTCTTAACCACCTGAAGCAGCTGGTTGGGGAGGGTTCATCTTTTAATTTATGCCTACTCACTCTTAACCACCTGAAGCAGCCGGTTGGAGAGGGTTCATCTTTTAATTTATGGGTTTCGCACGTATCAAAAACCTGTAAATTATGATTTTTTTTATTATTATTGAGATTCTAAGTTTTTTTTTCAGTCCAATTTTAAAATTATATTCTTATATTGTTATTGTTTCAGAACTTAATGTATCATATAAGCACACATGACAATCTCTAGTCAATGATAGTTTACCATTTGTCATTGTGGGTCCAAATTAGATGATCGAATTGATGATGTGGTAAGCTATCATTTACTAAAATTTGAAATAATAACATAAGAATAGAATTATTAAATTAAAAAGAGAAAAAAATTTAAGATTTTAATAAAAAAAATTCCAATTGTACAGGATCTTAATATGCATAAAACCTTTTAATTTATGATAGTAGTTGCCAGAATGATCCCAACAAATTATGGAACCAACATATGTAGGTAGGTTTGTGTTAGGAGTTATGGTGGTTAAAAAGCCTCCACAATCCTAAGGATTCAGGATTCAATTTCTAAGTATAAGAACAGATTGTAAGTGTTTTTTTTTTTTTCATTAATTGCTAGCCTGGATGTGGACGGTCTGTCTTGGATTGGACTTAGAACGTGGGTTCGGTCTTGATATATGCATGTTAATCCGAGAATACCACTTGAATATCAAATAAAAAAAGAAAACGAAACCTGCATTGTATCAACAATTGTAAACCCTAGTCTAGAGGAAAGGATTTAATTCTGCTCAGTAGTCTAACCTGAGAAATAATTATCACTAGTAACTAGTACTCGAGAGTTAGTGCAAACTGCCTCAAATTTCAATATCAAGTACTAACATAAGGTAGGCGATTTCTGATTTGGCATTTAACCCTACACCTAAATACACCAAACTTGTTCTGGCATCTGACTCCAAATAACAAAGTTATTGAATTCTTCTGCTCTGTGTATATTGATTAAATGAGTAAAAGCCAAAAGCCCTAATCTGTTCTTTATATTTCAAAACTAACGTTTGTAGTAAGTACCAACCCCACAAAATAAAGGCCAGTTTCACAGTCCTTTGTTCTGGTATGGTCACAAAGAGCTCCACTCTTCCCTGCAATTCAAAAAAATGAAAACCAAATGGTGGGTCTCTAAATACTTAGCATTACACATTAAGGACTACGTGAAGGGACAAAAAAATGTGCAGAGTTGTACTGGAATTATGTAGACAACAAATTAATGGTGGGTCAAGAAGTCACAGCCTCACTGCAGGGTCATCATTTTCCACTCAGTTTCTATTCAAAATCTCTGTTGGCAGCTTAATTCCTCCATTAACACATGTCTGCAAATAGGGCAGAAATCCACCACCAGTCCGACGCAGATTATCACTTACCTACCTATATTAATCACTTTCTGTCAAATAAATGAAGTAAAATAGATGCATTGGACATAGCCCTAATTCAACTTGAGGTTATATATATATATATATATATATATGGTCCTCACACTGGTACATCACTAAACTGGCATATGCAACTGTTTATGATAATGTTTCTGTTCATGCATTCATTTGTGGAATAGCAAATCTCAATCCATGACATGATTTTGGCTATGTTCTTGAGTATTAATTTCGTCAAGATCGTTCATTAGACTTGGATTACATAAAGGGATAGTTCTTGTTTCTTTTGATATTTTCCGTCTTAAGTACAGATCACACGAGAAATCTTATATAAAATTTATGGTTATTTTGAAAACCCTAAATGTTTTTGTTAATTATATATTCTAGGTAACTTATTGATTAAACACCTTACATTCACGATAAGTGTATGTTAATTATACATTAATTAAAGGGTTTTAAGCATTTTGAGACCTCATACAGTTTAAACTTTTTTGATTGAGAACCTAATTTTTTTTTTTAATTTAAGAGTTTTACTTTTATATCATTATTATTTTATACCTTAGCCAATGATAACTTACCACGTGTATGCTCTAACCAATGATAATTTGTCATGTCATCGATTTAATCATCAAATTTTAATTCATTATGACACGTGGTAAGTTGTCATTGGTTAGAAATTTCATACATGTTTACGTGATACATTAGAGTTCGAAACAATAAGAATATAAAAGTAAAACTCTTAAATTAAAAAAAAAAAAAAACTTAGGATTTCAATTAAAAAAATTTGAGTTGTATAAGATTTCGACAATTAAAAAACCCATTAATTAAATCAAATTTGTTTGTTGATCAATGAGGGGTATTGGAGGGAAGATAATAATTCAAATGAATTTGAGTATCTCCAAAACACAGCTAGCAACTAATCATAACATTTTTTTTGTTTCCTGTTAGGTATAAGAAAAGAAATCCATAATTGCAGCTCAACAAATATTGGTACAAGTAAAGAAACAAATTGGGAAAAATGTCTTCTAGCTCTAGGCACTTATCTAGAACAAAACCCAACTATTTGTTGGCTTTTTTTTCGAGAATGGAAATTTCCTGTTTCATAAATTCTTTCTCACCCCTTAAATATTTAATTGATATTATCCCTAGCTAGCTAGGACATGTATAATAACAAGCTAGTGAGTAGTGACACATCAAAGAAAGAACAGAAATAATTCTAAAGCATAATCTGTTGTGGCCCTTTTTTTAGCTTTTTGATCGAGGGTCTCTGAGCTACATATGGACGAGCCCTAATCTCAGTGAAGTAGGATTTTGTTGAACAATTCCTATTTAGAGAGAGGGCCCTCAATGACATGGCTATTCTGTCCAAGAACCAGTCTTCTTCCTATTCACATGATGGGCAAAATGTCTTATCTATTTTGGTCCCCCCAACATTCAAAAACCATCTTTGTTTTGAAAAATTATAAACCACAAATACATATATTGGGGTTTGCCACCCAAAATTTTTCTCTACAAGTTTGCAACTTTTAGTGAAGAATGTTTTGTACATTGTTGAACCTAATTTTGATGGTTTACACACTAAAATGTGCAAAATGATTCCTATCTTTCTGGTACAGCATATTGCATGCCACATGCCTATGTTGCAACATATTTTTTTTTTAATTTTTTTTTTTAACTCGTACAACCAACACATACTTAAATCTCATAACATAACTAATCTGTTAAAATTTAAATCCATAACATTTTGTAAGAAACCGTGATTATTAGATTACAAATTCTTTGATTATGTTGCAACGTAAGGAGATTCATTGTTGACCCAAGTACAAGGACAGTGCAAGCTGCTTGGCAGAAGTTTCAAATACTAAAACAAGTGGTAGGAGTAATGTTTGATCCCAACCAAACTCAGGGCACAATTAATTTCAATTCTTAAAAAACAAAAAATTCAGGCCAAGATCAAGCTCTTTTAGCCCATGTTAGCAAAAAGGATTGAAATTTTTAAAAAATAATATAAATTATATTATGAGATCTTATCTAACAGTTTAAATTTTTAGATGATATGGTTTTTTGACATGATATCTTTAACGGAAATGAACTAGCTAGCCGAACTTGCTAGCATTATATTTAGACTAAATTATAAATTAGTCTATCTAGTTTTAAGGGGAAAAAAATGTTTTTTAATTAATATTAATCACGATTCAATTTAATATTACTTTATTTTAAAAAATATTTTTTTCATTAATTTTTTATAATATTTATTTTTTTCATTTTTCATTTTCATTTTTTAAAATAATAATAAAGAATATAAGATGTACAAAGAAAATTAAATAATTAATTAATTCGTTTATAAAAACCACTAAGTCTAATTTATATTCGAATCTTATTATTATAACCATACTCTCAAAACATTATAAAACTATAAATACTATCCACAAATTTTTACTTTTTACCATAAATTTTCCCCAGGTTTTCAACCCATGAACAAAAACTAAAATTTTTACATGAAACTTGAAATTTTCTTTAATTTTGAAAGTAACATTACAGAAATTACTAAGGATATCGTCGAGTTAATCAGTCATAAACACATGTTTGACGAATCTTATCACACATAATTTAAGTATCAAACAAGCTAAACTTGAGAGGTTAAAAAGTTACAATGTGCTTCTTCTTCTTTTTCAAAATGTAATAAAAAATAAGATAAAACGTCATAATTTGAAACTGAAGGGTCATTTTGCAGATCCCCATTAAACCACCTTGTATGGAGTATTTAAATCCTCAGGAGTTGCTGTAATGGGAATCACATTGTTAACAGCTCTCCAGATATTTTTATATATATATATAGCGAGAGAGAGAGAGAGAGAGAGAGAGAGAGAGAGAGGTGCGTGGTCATATCGTCATCTTTTTTTGTTACCAAATCTCCATTCCCAATGGAAGAGGGAGGAAGGGGGAGCAGAGTTGGTCTGGTAAGACTTGGGAGTGAGTGTGTGAAGATAAAAAGAGATAAACTAGACAGAAGGGAAAAAAAAAAAAAAACATTAAAATATGCTTCAAAACCCACAAACACACCATTTTGTTGCACTTTAATTCCTCAATCCAACTCAAATCAAATCAAAATGGGTTGTCATATTTTTCATCACATTCATCCCTACATTTCACAATTACTAACAATATGGTCCTCGTATGAGCATGGATGTTATTTTTTCCATTTGTTTAGAAAACGATTACATGTAATAACATGAAAAACCAAAACTACAAAGAAAAACCTCCATTCCATGTTCAAGTGATCAAATTTTGGATGTATTGATAGAAATGTAAAAGATACATTGTTTTTATACATGTTTTTTTTTTCACTTGGACCCTTATAAGTCCAAAAGGTTTTCCAATTCAGATAAGTTTTTCTATTTTTATATCCATTATTGCAAGCTATGTGTTCAGAAAGTAGAAAAAAAAATAGAGGGATCATATTAAGAAAATATCCAAAGTAGGAAGACTATAATACAATTAACCCAAAACCAAATGATGTTGTTGGACTTGATGTATATGCTTCATGGATCCGCATTTTCCGCTTCTTCATCTCTCTGCCTACTATAAACTTTTCAAGCTCCCACCTTTCTCTCTCTAATCTATAACTCATTAACTCCTACTATTACTTCTTATCATCGTCATCCTCGTTTTCTCGTTTTCAGACCAACCGGTCATATCTTTGTTTCTTGTGTACATTCAAAGCAAAGGCAAAAGAGAAACTTTGACTAGACATGGGAAAGGAATGGTATTATTGGGGTGGTGGAAAAACCTCCAAGAAAGGTGGTGGTGGTGGTGGTGAAGGAGGGAGAGAAAGAGAGAAAGACAATGCTAATTTAGGTTGCATGTGTGCTGTATTTCAGTTATTTGATTTCCATCAGTTTCAGTTTCCTTTAAACCATCCACAACAGTCTTCTAATTTTCTTCAGCCCAATTCCTTCCTTCGTCTTGAGGATCCTCCTATCCCAAAAGGTAGCTCTTTTACCATTTCTCTACTGTATCTTTTCTTGTTTTCGAGAATTTCAGTAATGGGGTTTTGTTTAATTCAGGTGTTGAAGCACCAAGGAATAGCTTGGAATTGGAAGAGGAGCCTTCATTGGCATCATCAAAAGATGAAAATTTTAATATTCCAGTAAGTTTTCGTACCATGTTACCTAGGCCCTAGCAGCCTATAGTACTTTGTTTTTTCAAAAACCTTCTTTCTTTAGGGGTTTACATCACCTCTTTCCTTTCCTTTTCTTTTTTTCCTATGATTCTTGATGTAGTGCAGTTAATAATGATCTTTTGCTTTTCTTTTTGAAAAATTAATCCAGATGGGTATTCAAATTAAAACAAAAGGAGTTCCAAATATTGATTCATCTTCATCAGAAATCAGCTCTTCTCCAGGAACCAAGACACCAAATTTGGTAGCTAGACTTATGGGTCTTGATCTTCTTCCTGATCATCTTCCCTACTCACCAAGCCATTCTTCTTCATCAACTCTTGGCACACCAAAGCTTCCACCAAAATCCCATTTTCAGCACCAACGTTGCAGACCTCAACAACCACCTCACCATAGCAAAAGAAGTAGCCCTCGTAGTTGTACTTTGGACCATGATTTTTCAGGCACTCGTTCTTTGCCTGAGACTCCAAGAATCTCATCAGCTAGAAGATCAGATGTAGAGCACCGTTTGTCACTTCAAATCAACAAAGAAAATGTAGGTGAAGACCTAGTGCTCTCTCGTTTCTCATCTTTAAAAAGAAAAGAGCTGAAAGTTGAAGAAGAGAACAGAAGTCCAGGTCGCTATGCAAGGCAAATTGCGAAGCAAGTGAAAGAGAGTGTAGGCAGGAAAGTTGGCTTGGATATTACAAACACAGTGAGAAATAGAGAGCAAACAAGAAGAAGAGATCAAGAACTTGAGCTTGTTAGTCAATACAAGTCCAAGAAAATTCTCTCTAAAGCTCTAAGTACAACCAAAATTGTTGACGTTTCAGCTAATAGTCCAGGCAAGCATTCTGTGACCACAACTTCTTGCTCATCTAGACTGAAATTCTTGGAACCCAAAAACAAGCCAATCACAACTCTACCTTTTAAGGACCACAATAATATTTCTCATTCTCAGAAACCACCACCACCACCACCACTTCTGTCACAAATTACCAAACCTTCAACAAATCCAAATTTGCCTCAGGTTCTGCAGGATCAATTCCAGCACCAGCACCGCCACCAACAGAGACCTTTCAAGAAGTGCAAGAAAGTGACTGAAGAAAAATTTGGTCCACCGCCATCAAGAATCATCAAGAAACCTCCAAAAACATCAGATATTATCAGAACCAAGCAAGGAGAGCCATTTGTCCGTTCAACATCAGCTTCAATAACCAACATTCCTGACAAGAAGTGCAAGAAAACCCCATTATCAAATGACCTTAACATCTCTCTCCCAATTCTCCTTCCCGTCAAGAAAGACCCTACTCCTCCAGCTACAAAAATACCTCAAAAACAGGTACCACATGACTACTTTCCCATTTGTTTATTTCAAATTTTTAGTTATAGTTATATTCATATACATTTTGCTCATTTTTGAAGAAATGAAATGAAAATAACAAGTTGTTTTTCTTGCATGCGTTATGTGATAAATGTAGGTGTCAAATGCTGCTCAAGAATCGAAATGGAGCTCACAGTTATCTAGTTGTTCGAGCCAGTCGTACAAACAACCACAAGCGATGCCTAGGCTCGATGCCCGAGAAAACAACAATGAGGATAGGTCTAATAACGGTGTCGCCGCCAATACCATCACCACCGGAGATGGAGCAGCAAAAGAAGAATATGAGTACCTTACTAGAATACTAAAACGTACTGGCATAGACAAAGATACCCCAGTGTCTTTTACTAGGTGGTTTTCTCCTTCCCATCCTTTAGATCCTTCAACTTTTTACTACCTCGAACATTTTACCACACCTGGCTCCATCACAACTTATCAAAATCGCACTTTGGACCGTCGATGCAATCGAAAATTATTGTTCAGTCTTGTTGACGAAATTTTGGTCGGCATTTTACGTCCGTACATCAACATGAAACCTTGGAGTAGTAGTACTAGGTTTGGCTTAGTTCCTCAGTACGATCGAATTAGTCACATGAATGGGTCGCATTTGGTTCACATGTTATGTACAAAGATTAGGAGCTTTCCTTGCGCTGATTGTCATGACCTCGAAGACATTGATGGGTTAATAGGCAAAGACTTGCCCCAATTGATGAAGGATCAAAGTGAAGTTGCTTTTGGAGAAGAAGGAGAAGGGATTGTAATGGAGATAGAGAAGGAGATCGTGGACACATTAATACACGAAACGGCTTCGATTTTTTATGGTGATTGAAATGGCAACATGACCATAACGTAAACATTTGACTAGAGAGTTATGGGGGCTGTTCTAGTCATGGTAGAGAGACAAGTGAGCAGAAGGGTCACATGGGTTATTCACGTGACGAGATGCCATATGTTAGGGGGTCCAAACTAAAGATTGGGACTTGTAAAAAAGAGGTTTGAGGTCTACACGTGGAGATTTAAACTCTTTCTCCGACAGCAACACACTTGCTATCTCATTGGTTCTTAAAAGACAACAACGATTGACAGAGGATTCCATTCCTCTCTCTCTCTCTTTCTCTCTAGCTTTGTAAGTATATATATTGTATAGTTATCACCTTTTTCCTTTATTTGTTGTTGTTCTTTATAATATTAAACAAGATGGGTTTCTTAATCAGTACTAATGGTCCTATTGTGTTGTACTATACGGTTTTGTACCCTGAGCTGTATTTTTTTCAGATTGTCATCAGATGGATCATCATGATGTCCATGATTATGAAATTTCTTTCAATCTTAGTGATGTATTGCTTCTTGCCGCTTTATCTTCCTTTTGTTTTTGCTATCTTTTTTTTTTTTTTTTTTTTTTGGGATAAGTCCACTGAAATTGATAACCGGCAATCCTTTTGTTGGACTGAGTTCTTATTGGTGGCATTTACAAGCCCCCAGAAAACGTTGCTCATAGAAGAAACTCCATATCAAACAATTTATTACTATATTAAACAAGCACTTAATTAATGTTGATCTTAATATTACAGGTTACTAACAAGGAAAAATTTGCCCACGTTGTTAGCTACTAGAGATTATATTTGTACGTAGTGGTTGTATAATTGTCGGGTGTTCTCCCTGTTGGTGGAGAAAACTATCTCAAGAATAGAGTTCATATGGATTAAAAATGTCTAATTGATGTGAATTATAATGTTTTTATTTTTTATTGTAACGAATTCGATAAAATAATTTTTTATAAAAAGCTCATCTATGAAGTTGAGAATTCGAATCTCATTTATCGTAATCTGTGATTGATGGATTATTTAAACTTTTATATATGGTCGTAATTATTTTTAAAATTTAAAATTTCGATCTCTAGATAAGTACAACGAAAGTTCTTTCAAGTAAAAAAATGGTGCCATATGAATATAATGTTTAAGAATATATATATATATATATATAATGATTTATCATTGATGGACCTATTGGCCATTGCAAGCATACGAGCTACAATAATTGGATTTTTATTGATTACTAATGTTTCAAGACTCTTTTCTTTTTACTTCAATCATACATTTTAAAGATAGCTTATAAGAGAAAGAACATTCTTATGATGAGATTATATAGGAGTAATTATTAAGAAGGCAAAAAGAATGAGTATCATTTGTGAACCCAAAATTTGAAGGCAGACTAAGAAAAGAAACGAGATTGAAAACTTTTAGCATAACTATTTTCACTTTTTAGGATAGATTTGGATCGGATTCCATGGAAGTTTGAGCTTGAAAAAGTGCAGAAAAGTGAAAAAGGTAATTGCTTAAAAGGATGCTTTTGCATGGACCCGAGACATACATATTGATGTATACGTGAACTTTAAAGCCTCAGAGTTGTGACTGTGCGACCAAATCGTAATACAGACAACATGGCCAAGCCAAAATGTGATCATTCAATGGTTCGAATGGTCATAAATCTGGTTATATACATAGGAAACACTTTAACAGATTCTAAGAAAAAGGGAAAAAGGAAACACTTTAATAGAAAAGCTGAAAGTATAGTCAATAATTTGGGTGAAGCATATCGTGTTGAGTAAGACCCGAATCATATCCTGCCTATTATAAATAAAAGAAAAGGTCAAATTAATCCTACCGGATTTATGTTAATCAAGAAATACTGGAAATACTGGAAGAATTATGCATTGGCATATATAATCAAGAACAATCTATGGTACTGAAAAATTACTGCATAAACCGGATTTATGTTAATTATAATTATATAATTGGTTGATAATTAAAGCGGATTAGTATTAATTATCTTTTGGCCCCCTCTCTCTAGCTATATTGATATTTACGGATATTCAAATATTTTTAGATAAATTTTTATATCAATTGAGAATAAATTTATTATTTTTCAAGCTAACCCAACGTCGAACATGTTTAATTATGTATGAATGATAAAAATTGAATTTTGATATTGAATAAATTAAAATAACCCTCTTATCCTAGGATCACATCTTTTGATGGCCATATATATAATTCAAAGCTTAGATAAATTATTTAAACTTATTGAGATTTAAGATTAAATAAGTTTAATCTAAAATAGTATATTTATACTATTTCGCTTCACTTCTATTTTTTTTTTAATCTTTTTTTCATTTCCTAATAATTCTCTATATTGGTTTTTTTTCCCTCCTTAAAGTTTTCCCTTAATCCTTATATTGTTTTCTCTTTGTTATTTTCTTTTTCATTATTAGCCTTATATAAACTTAAAATTGTCAAGGGATTCTTTTAGAAGCCATGGCCAAAAACTCGTATTGAATGCCATTAGGAATGACAATGGATCGAATACAAAACGGATACTTGTTTTACCCGACTCAATAAATATCGATTAAAAATATTCAATAAATATTAAAGTGGATAAGAGTAAAAAAAATATTTATCTATTAATCTGGTTTCGGGATATGCATATCCTTAATTGTAGGTATCAAAAAAATTTGGCCAGATGTTTCACTTGAAGAGCAGCATGTTATTCCACCAATCATCTGTTTATAAGGACTTTTGAAAATGATTTATCAGTTTTGAATCAAACATCAAATATGAGAAGAAAAAAAGAAGAAGGAGAAAATCGAGAAAGCAGTTACAAGTTGCAATATGTTTGGTGATGTTTTAGTAGCAGTTACTACTAAGGCATAACTTTCTTATATTAATTCCATGTTATTTGAAATAATAATAACAAGTCATTTGCAAACAATAAAAAAATAATATAATGCCAGGTCTAATTTGATCTTCTAATTTATATTTCTCTTCGATTTATCCAAACAAAAAATTTCTTCCACTAAATTTTACGTGAATTTTTTAAATAGCCTGACATACCCAAATCATCTTATCATATGATTTACAAGGCAAAATTTATGCCTGATTATCCACAAATTAACATGGTCCGTTGATATTCATCTTTTTTTTTTTACTTTAAATTATTTAAAAGAAATGGGGTTTTTTTTTTTTTTGATAAATTTTTGTCTAATACTATAAGTTACGGTCTCGTTATTATACCTGGGATGTCTTAATTCCTTGTTATGCGAAGGAACAACAAGTCTTTAAGGTTTTTGTTGATATCTCTGTCATCAGAACTGGTCTGAGAGCTGTGACAGGACTCTGGATAGATAGAAGTGACAGGAATAGACCTCAGCTGAATATTTCTGCTTCGTAATTTATAAAAGGTTTCTCTTTTTTATCCCAAGAAGAATAGAGGTCAGGTCAGGTCAGATCACGCAGGGATGACTGGTTGACTGTGTTACGTGTCACTTGATGCCAACATGGCAACAAGCAAGTCTCCTTTCCCATGATAGATAATCACCACTGACCAGACCTTAATTATGATTTTCTTTATCAATTACTATTATTTAACAATACTTTTCTCATATATACAACAATACAAAAATAAAAATAAATAACATGATATGTTCTTATATAATAATTTAAAATTTTAATTTTTTTTATATTTTTAAATAATATTTAAATTTTCAATCAATTTTTTCGTTCAATTTTTTCGATCATTAGTAAATTTTTTGATCGAAATACTTTAATTGAAATGAAAAAAATAAAAATTTAAAAGAATTTAAAAATAAAATATACAAATCATGTAATTTTAATTGATTTTTTTCGGTAAGGAGCTTTTCAATAAAAAAAAGTATCATTATTGGAAAAATTGATTGAAAAAAGTAGTTGAAAACTTGAATAATATTTAGGAATATAATAAATATAATTAAAAATATAAAGATAGGTTGAAAACTCAGATTATTATTTAATAACATATTCAATTATTTACTTCAGAAATAATATACAATACATAGGAGGGCAATGACAATTGGCAAACATAGATTTCGATTGAAATGCAAAAAAATAAAAATAATTTAAAAGAGTATAAAAATAAAAATAAAATTCGAAATATTTTGATTGAAATGTAAAAAAATAAAAATTTAAAAGACTATAAAAATAAAATATACAGTTAATTTGATTTTAATTGATTTTTTAATATAAAAATAGGTTGAAAACTCATATTATTATATAATACCATATTCAAGTATTTACTTCAAAAAATAATATATAATATATACGAGGGCAATGACAATTGGCAAACATAGATTTGGAAGCGGGAAAATTCAAACAAATGTAAATATATATGTAAAAGAAAAAAACAAATGCAAAATGCAGACATCTGTAAGAAAATTCAAATGAAATTTGCATGTGGGCTGCTTGCGAAGCTTCGTAATTATGGTTGTCAATCAATAATATTGATGAGATGGGATTTGTGAGAGGGAGAGCCATTGATGATAAACTGTTATGGTTGACCAATTGTCTCTTAAATAATGTCGGAGCTGTTTATAGGAAGGCTTGTGCCTTGTATTGTAGTATCATCTTCTGTTTGATTATAGCAACTTCCATTACTTTCTTCTATAGGGTATTTGACCTAAGTTTGTGAAATTTTTGTACCTATTGGCCTCTATTTTCAGGGGAGGAATCCATTGATGCGTGGACCATGTCCATTCAATGAGGTTATTAATGTTGATGGTGACAAAGGCATTATACATCTACCCATCTATCATACTAGATGGGAAGCCTTTAATGGCTTTTATAGTTTGAAATAAAAAAGGAAGTTAGATGATTTTGTTTCCCACAGTGGAAAAATTCATTGCTTTGATTGCTTAAGACAACTAATTTTCCTGCCAAATAATGTGTGATCATTGTTTACAAGTTCTAACTTTTATTGCTGAAGATCATTATTATTGATATTTAAAAAAAAATTCATAAAAGATTTTTTTTTCAAAAAAATAAACTTCTTAACTGATACTTTTAATCCCCAAGGTATATCTATAATTATAATTTGGAATTTTCGCTTTCTAATTTTGAATTCAAATCCTGAAAAGAATGGAATGAGATTTAGATAGATTAGTACTATTTGATACCATATGATCATACAGATGACATTATCATAATTTATATGTTTGTTTTCCCCTCATTGATGAGGATTGTTATTGATTTTTTAATTAGAAAAATAACTTTTTAATAAAAATATGTTTTTTAAATGAATTTTTCAATAAATAATCCTCAAGATCCAGGTTCAAATCCTAAAAAAAAAAAAAGAAAAAAAAATTTAGAGATGGAAGAGAATCATCCCACATCATGTAATTCAAGGTACATTAAATTAACCTTTCTTTGAACAAATAAAAATTAAATAATTTTTCTAATATATACTTTTAGTTTTCTTATAAAACAACAAACTCTATTCTTTAAATTGAATGTATGATTTTCCATAGTGAGTTTGGTCTTGTTGAAGCTGTTTCATCGTTTAGGTGCACATCGGAAGTCCATCTCCATCGAGTGCTGTAAACCTTGCTACAAATATTATATAGTATGATTCATTTGAATTATCCACATCTAGGGTAATATAAAATCAATTTTCATCAGTCGACAAGAAAATCATGCAGAGACAAGCTTCCTTAATAAAATGTTTTTTCTTAACAAAAACTGCTGACAAATATTACCGTTCTTTGCCCTTTATGCAATAAAATAGTTAACATGCAATGCAAGGGTGAGGTCATGACATGATCTTCAGATTCAGTTTTGCGCAAAACTTGGCAGATTCCCCCGCATAATATTCCTGACTACTTCATTGCTAGCTCTAAAATCTAAATTGAATCTCTCTGAGAGAGCAACAGAAGAGGGAGAAAACCCATTTTCAAATTCAAAGTGGTTCAGCTTTTAGGTCCCAAATCACTATAATATATATTAAGCTAGCTATACATATGTGTCAATACGCTCTACACTTGATCATGTATTTGAGCAGGCTAATCCGTTATAAAATACTTTGAATTATTTGTCAAAATAAGAAAAAATTTTAATAATTTTTTTGGATCTTCAATCTTTTTTTAGTGTAATTAAATTTTTTCACCTTTTTAACCGATTTCAAATCATATTAAATAGGCATAAAGGATACGCAAAGTAATCATTATAAAAAAATTTTGGATTAGTGACGGTCTAGACCGTCTCTAATCATATGAAAACCATTGTTAATTATGTTTAGAGACGGTTTTGCAACGGTCCAAAATCCCTCGAAAAAATGCTAGTCCGTAAATTTTGTGACGGTTTGAGACCGTCTCTAATTTACGAGACGGTTTAGAGATGATTTTAGACCGTCTCTAAATTCCTTGACGGATAGGAGCCGTCGCAACAACCGTTGTAGAAATTACGACGGTTCTACAATGGTTTTAGTCCGTCGTTTTGCGACGGTTTTGCAACGATTCTAGGCCGTCGCGAGAATAAACGAAATTAGAGACGGCTTATTCCATCTCTAATTCCTTCGCTAATGACGTTTTTTGTTTTAAACTCAATTTGAAATTTTTAAAAAAATACCGAAAAGATAAAATTAATTGAATAAATTTATTTAAAATGTAAAACATTTTATTAAATTAACAAATTCTCATAAGCATCGTAAGGTTTTTTGTTATAACAAGAAATAAAACGTAATAAGCTATGATTGACCAAGCAAGATCTTCACTCGAAGGTTGGGTGGAATCATCGTCGGTGTTAGGCACGAAGGATGAAATGCTCGAATGCATTTGCTTGCATAAAAAATTGCTGCATTTGTGTCATCATCGCTTGTTGTTATCGATCGTACTCCTCCAATCTTTTAGTTGTCTCTACTAACAATGTGACGAGTAGACTTTAGTCGACTATATCGATCCTCCCCTCTTTTCGTTATGCCTCATCACCAACATTGCGACGCGAAGTTGCTCGAACTAGAGGATGTACCGACGTTGGAGTAGTAGTGCAATGCGTGTGACTCAAGTTCGTACATCATCTTCCTCTTACTATCTCCTCTACCAATAGCAGTCTTAAATATCTTATTAATGTTGATGTCCGATGATGAACTCCCCTCGGTCCGTCGACTAACAATCTCCTCTTCAATCATTCTTTCTACGATCTCTTGCATAATTGTGAAATACAAAATATTAAACGATTATATATGTTAAATAATGTTAAAAGTTAATATGCTTGATATGACGTAAAAAACTAAAAGTTTACTCCAATAATTCTTAATCGTTGATCGACGAATACGTATTGATCATCAATCTTTTTCGATGGATCCTTTTAAAAACCTCGTGCGGATCGGGTTCATGATGGTGATCAAAATACAAGTGTCCAAATTGCTTAATTCCCCTACATTTTACTTGTTTTGAGATGTCCAAATGATAGACCTTAAGCTGCGTTTGTATTCTATGTGCCGGGATGTGAAACCGATTGATAAATGACGTTAAAAGAATCATATGAAAAAAATTATGATTAAGACCAATTCGGACACTAGAAAGCACGAGAAGCGTGGGCATGTAAGACTAATAACGTGGGCACATAGATCGGTGGACATGGACACATAAGAGTATGAAGGCATGAGGATGTTGCAACTTAACGTGGGCACACTCGGAAACCACATAAACGAGCAATAGACTTCAACTAAGAAACAAATTCGTTGCAATTTATCGGGAATAGACTTGAACCTTCGAAAGAGGAGAGAATATTTTGTACCCTTTTAGGAAATAGAAAGCCCTATAAATAGGAACATAGCGAGACTAGGATAAACATTTTTTATTCATTTTTTTATTCATCATAGTAGTTCTCGGCTTTATTTTCTCTTTCGTTGCTATGAATGCCGCCATGAATACCGTCATGAGCGATTAAACCCCTTTCCTTGGTGAAGGTAATCGAAGCTTTTGAAAATCAAAGATTTTGAAGTGCTTAAATATTAATACAAACCAATTTACTTATTTCAAGTATTAAACTTTCTTCTATGATTATTTTCATGATTGTTTAAATTGATTTCTAATGTGCCCGATTAGTTTATTGACTAAAATAATCTATAGCTAGATTGAATATTGAATCCGTAATTGTTCAATCCCTTTGATTCGTGTAGCAACTAGGAGCGTATGGTTTGCTACGTCGAAACTAATGACTTTTAGGAAGATTGTTTAACTAGATTAAATGCAACTACATGTATTGTGTTGTCTTGCTTTGTTGATCTTTCTAATACATAAAATCGTTATTTGATTAAATCTTAGATCGTATCTAGGTTTGTTAAATAATAAGGGTTAATTGGAATACATGTTTCTAGTTGCCCAATCGTAAGGAAAGATTGATTTCAATATCACAACAAAT